TGTCACGTACACGTTGCTGTCACATGCACGTTGCTGTCATGTATACGTTGCTGTCACATACACATTTCTGTCAGGTACACGTTGCCATCATGTGCATGTTGCTGTCATGTGCATGTTGCTATCACATGCACATTGCTGTCATGTGCACATTGCTGTCACATGCACGTTGCTGTCATGTATACGTTGCTGTCACATACACATTTCTGCTGGTACACATTGCCATCATGTGCATGTTGCTGTCATATGCATGTTGCTGTCATATTCACGTTGCTGTCATGTGCATGTTGCTGTCATGTGCATGTTGCTGTCACGTACATGTTGCTGTCACGTACATGTTGCTGTCATTTGCATGTTGCTTTCACATGCACGTTGCTGTCACGTACACGTTGCTGTTATGTGTATGTTGCTGTCATGTACACGTTGCTGTCACGTACATGTTGCTGTCATGTGCATGTTGCTTTCACATGCACGTTGCTGTCACGTACACGTTGCTGTCACGTACATGTTGCTGTCATTTGCATGTTGCTTTCACATGCACGTTGCTGTCACGTACACGTTGCTGTTATGTGTATGTTGCTGTCATGTACACGTTGCTGTCACGTACATGTTGCTGTCATGTGCATGTTGCTTTCACATGCATGTTGCTGTCACGTACACGTTGCTGTCACGTACATGTTGCTGTCATGTACACGTTGCTGTCACGTACATGTTGCTGTCATGTGCATGTTGCTTTCACATGCACGTTGCTGTCACGTACACGTTGCTGTTATGTGCACGTTGCTGTCATGTACACGTTGCTGTCATGTACACCTTGCTGTCACGTACATGTTGCTGTCATTTGCATGTTGCTTTCACATGCACGTTGCTGTCACGTACACGTTGCTGTTATGTGTATGTTGCTGTCATGTACACGTTGCTGTCACGTACATGTTGCTGTCATGTGCATGTTGCTTTCACATGCACGTTGCTGTCACGTACACGTTGCTGTCACGTACATGTTGCTGTCATGTACACGTTGCTGTCACGTACATGTTGCTGTCATGTGCATGTTGCTTTCACATGCACGTTGCTGTCACGTACACGTTGCTGTTATGTGCACGTAGCTGTCATGTACACGTTGCTGTCACGTACACGTTGCTGTCACGTACATGTTGCTGTCATTTGCATGTTGCTTTCACATGCACGTTGCTGTCACGTACACGTTGCTGTTATGTGTATGTTGCTGTCATGTACACGTTGCTGTCATGTGCATGTTGCTGTCATGTACACGTTGCTGTCATGTGCATGTTGCTGTCACGTACACGTTGCTGTTATGTGTATGTTGCTGTCATGTACACGTTGCTGTCATGTGCATGTTGCTGTCACATGCATGTTGCTGTCATGTATACATTGCTGTCACGTACACGTTGCTGTCATGTACACGTTGCTGTCACGTACATGTTGCTGTCATGTACATGTTGCTGTCATGTGCATGTTGCTTTCACATGCACGTTGCTGTCACGTACACGTTGCTGTCACGTACATGTTGCTGTCATGTACACGTTGCTGTCACGTACATGTTGCTGTCATGTGCATGTTGCTTTCACATGCACGTTGCTGTCACGTACACGTTGCTGTTATGTGCACGTAGCTGTCATGTACACGTTGCTGTCACGTACACGTTGCTGTCACGTACATGTTGCTGTCATTTGCATGTTGCTTTCACATGCACGTTGCTGTCACGTACACGTTGCTGTTATGTGTATGTTGCTGTCATGTACACGTTGCTGTCATGTGCATGTTGCTGTCATGTACACGTTGCTGTCATGTGCATGTTGCTGTCACGTACACGTTGCTGTTATGTGTATGTTGCTGTCATGTACACGTTGCTGTCATGTGCATGTTGCTGTCACATGCATGTTGCTGTCATGTATACATTGCTGTCACGTACACGTTGCTGTCATGTACACGTTGCTGTCACGTACATGTTGCTGTCATGTGCATGTTGCTGTCATGTGCATGTTGCTGTCACATGCATGTTGCTGTCATGTATACATTGCTGTCACGTACACGTTGCTGTCATGTACACGTTGCTGTCACGTACACGTTGCTGTCATGTACACGTTGCTGTCACGTACATGTTGCTGTCATGTGCATGTTGCTTTCACATGCACGTTGCTGTCACGTACACGTTGTTGTTATGTGCACGTTGCTGTCATGTACATGTTGCTGTCACATACACATTGCTGTCACGTACACGTTGCTGTCACATGCACTTTGCTGTCATGTATACGTTGCTGTCACATACACATTGCTGTCACGTACACGTTGCTGTCACATGCACTTTGCTGTCATGTATACGTTGCTGTCACATACACATTTCTGTCAGGTACACGTTGCCATCATGTGCATGTTGCTGTCATGTGCATGTTGCTGTCATGTGCACGTTGCTGTCATTTGCATGTTGCTGTCATGTGCACGTTGCTGTCATTTGCATGTTGCTGTCATGTGCACGTTGCTGTCATTTGCATGTTGCTGTCATGTGCACGTTGCTGTCAGTGTTGGGCACGTTACTTTAAAAAAGTAATTAGTTATACACTGCCAGGCCAAAAAAAAAAGTCGCCTCCAAAAAAATAGGCACTTACTCTAATACTTTGCTGGACCGCCTTTAGCTTTGATTACGGCACGCATTCGCTGTGGCGTTGTTCCGATAAGCTTCAGCAATGTCAGAAGATTTATTTCCATCCAGTGTTGCATTAATTTTTCGCCAAGATCTTGCATTGATGATGGTAGAGTCTGACCGCTGCGCTAAGCCCTCTCTAGCACATCCCAAAGATTCTCAATGGGGTTGAGTTCTGGACTCTGTGGTGGCCAATCCATGTGTGAAAATGATGAGTCATGCTGCCTGAACCAGTCTTTCAGGGAGCGCATGTTGCTGTCAATTACTGGTTGCTGTCATGTGCACGTTGCAGTCACATACACTTACACCAGGGAACATTGCTCCTAATGTATACATCTTAAGTAACGAGAACTGTTTAAAGCTTACTAACAACTTAAGGGTTATTTCCTTTTATAAAATAATTAGTTACAGCACTAATCACTGTAAAAGTATAGTTACTGAAAGGTTTTACCTAGAACCACTTTAATCCCAAGTCTGGCTGTTAATTAGAGCTGGTATCATATAGGACGAGCCAATTGGATACAATTCTCGATGTAGAGCCGTTTGATTTCATTTTACTCCAATATCAAGGTTTATTAATTTCTGTTTAATGCTCAAAATCATTCAATTCACAAAAACAGCTAAATATTATATTTATGATCATTTTATTGAAACTGATATATTAATAGAAAAATAAAGTGCATTTGGGTCAATGCATAAAACGTAGAAATTCAAAATTAGCCCAGTTTTCTTGGACGGTGGCTTATAAAAACTTTTTGTGCAAAAGAAAACTACTAAATATTTATCTTAAATTTTTTTAAACATAGAGAAAGAAAAAGTGCATCTATCTTACTTTCGACTAAATATATTAAAAAGCACTTGCTTATTAAAAACTTCTGGCTGAAGCTTCAGAAAATGACGGAACTCTTCCTGAACATAATAACGTGAACTGATGACTAAAGCTGCTCTACCGTAATATTTCTGGTTAGAAACATGTTCTGGATGAAGAAGAATTCTCTCTGTGCACTGATTGATCTCCAGCTGTAGAAAATACATGTTCTGAAGAGACACTTGTTGCTGGAGTCCACAGGTCGGTTTTTGTAAGACGTGTCCAAAGTGCAATCTCTGCCTGGTGCTCTTTCCACCAGCAGAGGGGATTTCTCCGCCGCTCCCGTTCAGCACGCTCCTCTGTGGTTCTGTGACCAAGACGACCAGCTGGACCGTATGACGGCCTCGCTCTCTTTGCTAGTGGAGATGTCGTCCTTCACTGGTGCCTCATTAGACTCTTCTGTCTCAGTTTCAACCTGCTCCTATAGAAGCATACCAGAAAAAGGAGGTTTAATAAAACACGTTTCTTTGTAAGAATTGAGTTTTACCATTATAAAATTTACCATAAGTTAAATCCAATCCTCCATTTTTGACATATGGAAATACACATTAGAAGCATTTCTTAAACATAAACATATTACAATTCAACAGGGTAATAACAAAAACCTTTTTTTCATAAATTGGTAGCACAGTGATGGTGTAATCACCATCACTGTGCAATTGTTTGGCTGTGACGTCATCCTGGAAAGAAACATCAGCTGTGCTGCTTCTATCAACACCCTTGTTTATAGATGTTGGAGATCGGCCTGTTTTCCAGTGTGGTCCTGTTTCTCTGACCGTGACTGAGTGGATGTGCTTTCTTCGTCCTCTGGCATGGGAGCTGCCTTGGAGCTCGTCTGCCTGGCTGTGTGTTTCCTGGACGGGGCCGCCTTTTACAGCTGCTTTTTGTATCTCTGCTTCTGTCTCCTTGAACCCCAGTCGGCCTCGGCAGATGGCCGCTCACACTGAGCCTGGTTCTGCTGGAGGTTTCTTCCTGTTAAAAGGGAGTTTTTCCTCTCCACTGTCGCTACAAGCATGCTTAGTGTGGGGGATTGTATTTGAGTCAATGAGTCAATGCAATCAACTGGTTTTCCTTAGATAGAAAACTTTGTATCAATTTGATCTGGTTGAACTGTAAAGTGCCTTGAGATGACATGTGTTGTGAATTTGGCGCTATATAAATAAACTGAATTGAAATTGAATTGAATTAATCAAATATGAAATGGTGGTCTGATCTCTCCTGACCATGAAACCACCCTCCTGCAGATGTGCTGACCCCCATCATTGGAGAGGAAGTGGATCCACGGCTGCCGCCGCATTTAAATCTCTTTCTGCTCATCTCTAGTTCAGGTCCTCAAAAATGGAGGATTGTGTTTCTTTCACTAATACAGAATCAGATCAGTTTTCTTGAAAGTCATGGAGGAGCTGAGCAGGAAGTGATGCTGCTGATAAGGCTGGGGAGTTTTCCTCAGACATTACAGGTGTAGCTGCATAGATGGGCTTCATGGCATCCAAGATCTCCTCAGCAGGTGTAATGTCTGACTCCCCCAGGGTGCAGACCTCAGCAGGTGTAATGTCTGACTCCCCCGGGGTGCAGACCTCAGCAGGTGTAATGTCTGACTCCCCCGGGGTGCAGACCTCAGCAGGTGTAATGTCTGACTCCCCCAGGGTGCAGACCTCAGCAGGTGTAATGTCTGACTCCCCCGGGGTGCAGACCTCAGCAGGTGTAATGTCTGACTCCCCCAGGGTGCAGACCTCAGCAGGTGTAATGTCTGACTCCCCCGGGGTGCAGACCTCAGCAGGTGTAATGTCTGACTCCCCCAGGGTGCAGACCTCAGCAGGTGTAATGTCTGACTCCCCCAGGGTGCAGACCTCAGCAGGTGTAATGTCTGACTCCCCCAGGGTGCAGACCTCAGCAGGTGTAATGTCTGACTCCCCCAGGGTGCAGACCTCAGCAGGTGTAATGTCTGAATCCCCCAGGGTGCAGACCTCAGCAGGTGTAATGTCTGACTCCCCCAGGGTGCAGACCTCAGCAGGTGTAATGTCTGACTCCCCCAGGGTGCAGACCTCAGCAGGTGTAATGTCTGAATCCCCCGGGGTGCAGACCTCAGCAGGTGTAATGTCTGACTCCCCCAGGGTGCAGACCTCAGCAGGTAATGTCTGACTCCCCCAGGGTGCAGACCTCAGCAGGTGTAATGTCTGACTCCCCCAGGGTGCAGCTGTTTCACCATCAGTTAGGAGTTTCTGTTCAGACACCTGCAGTAGATTTTGGTTTTCTCACCGTTTTCTTTATTTGCTTTTGGACTTTTTGTTTCTGAAACTTTTGGAAGTACGTTAAACCAGGAAGAACTCATCTCTGCCTGCTTCCGGCTCTCCACACCACCTGACAGTTTGATACAGTTTTGTTGGATTAAATTGAACCCATTGGACTAATACTTCAGTCTCTAGAGTTTTCATCGGTTTAAAAGTACAATTTAGGCTCCATCTTTTTTTTTATATTAACTATTTTATTTGTGTTTACAGAGCTGGATTCCAAAAATCATCAAGAAAAGAGTCTGCACTACCTATGTCCAAGACACTTTGAGGTAACTTTCTTCTCTGAGTTTTAACCTTTCAGGCAGTATTTTAGTTTAATTTATGTTCAAACAAAAGTTTGACCTAACCACTATTTTCATCAGTCATTCACCAGAATTGTGTCATAAATCACTACATATTTCACACCATCTTTCCCACAATATTAACAGAGGATTTTTTTATCCAAGGGAGAATTATTATAATGTCCAAGGACCTCTTAAAGTTTTGTTTTTGTTTGTTTATTTGTTTGTATTTTTGAGGACATAAAGATTTCCTCATTTTCTCTTAATTCTTATCATCAAATTATTCACAAAAGTTTATTATTTAAAAGAGAAAGAAGATTACAAAATTATAGTAAAGAGACTAGTTTTGTTAATTGAAACATCCAAAATAAATTATTTGCAGTTTTAGCTCTAAGGCTCCTAGAAGATTTCCCACTGTGGGAAAATAAAGGGATTTTCTATCTTTTCTAGTTGAATCCTTTTTCTAGCATCTCCAGTTCAAATGAAACTGTGTCCCTGAATATTACTCATTCAGATCTGTCAGTCATTTGCAAAACGATGTAAAAATAGAAAAACTGTTGTTGTTTTCTTATAGTGATAAGAACTGCCTATGAACATGAACATGGCAGCATCATGCTGTGGGGAAAAGCAGGGAAGGCTTGAGGGGATAAAGTATGGAGCTAAATCCAGATTAATCAGGAAAGAGAAAAACCTGTTAGCTGCAGAGGACCTCAGACTGGTTTAGGTTCCTTTTCCAGCGGGAGGTGAACAAAATGAAGTGTCATCATGTTTGATGTGAATGAGGGGGGCAGGATGCTGGATGCTGAACACAGGGGGAAAAATGGGACCCTGAGATCAGATTTCAGTTTATAATATGACTTTAGATCAAGAGTAAACATTTTAGTCTGTAAATGTTCTATTCAGTTTATTTCTATAGCTCCAATTCACATCATGTCATCTCAGGTCACTTTATAGATCCAGATCAACCAGATCATCCAGTGAGATTGATTCAAAGTTTTCTATCTAAGGAAAACCAGCTGATTGCATCGACTCATTGACTCTTCAGCAATCCCTCACACTAAGCATGCTTGTAGCGACAGTGGAGAGGAAAAACTCCCTTTGAACAGGAAGAAACCTCCAGCAGAACCAGGCTCAGTGTGAGCGGCCATCTGCTGAGGCCCACTGGGGTTCAAGGAGACAGAAGCAGACATAGAAAAAGAAGCATAGATACAAAAGGCAACTGTCAACCAGCTCCACAGGCGGCCCCGTCCAGGAAACACACAGCCAGGCAGACGAGCTCCGAGCCAGCTCCCATGTCAGAGGATGAAGAGAGCACATCCAGTTAGTCACAGTCAGAGAAACAGGACTACACTGGTTTATTATTATATACTTATTGATCGATGTGCACAGAAATAAAATCCCTTAATCATTAAAAGTTTTAATCTACAGAGGTATAAAGACCATTGGTATATATATTTTTAAATCATAATTCTGTATTTGACCTTTCTATAAATATTTTCTTCTTAATAGTACCCAACATTCTTCCTGATCAGTATATTATTATCTGAACTAAGGTGTGTGATTGTCAGTGTCTAGGAGGCTGGCCGCAGCATAAGTGTGTTTATTTTCTATGGCAGTAATGGAGCGCTCTGCCAGTGCGGCGTTGTGCGGGAAGTCCACGACTCGGTGGCCACAGGAGACTACTTTGGAGCAGCGATTGTTACTCAGTGGGACAGCAGGCAGCACTCGTCTGAATATCCCACTGACGCTTTTGGAGAACTGGAGTTTGCTGGAGCTGGACGCAGACATAGCCATGTAAGAATCCTTCTCTCCAGGCACAATCTGGACACCTAACCAGTGCAGGCAGATTACAGCTTTTCCTCTGTCCTGTTTAATTCCAGTTGTCAATCTTTGACAATTTTGTCAGTTCAAAACATTTCAGGGTTTCTTTTTGCTTTTCTTATTTCTCAGATTTGTGTATTTGATTTAAAATATTTTGTATTCCCTCTGGGGAAGTTTTCACCTCTTTAGTCAGAGGATGACTGATTTTAGGGCTTATTAAGTTGTTTTGCTCTACAATAACTGCCAGGCACATGCATATTTGTTATACATTAAAGTTTCAATCACAGTAGGAGAAATTTTATGTTCTTGAAATCTTCTAGAGCTTTAATCGAACCCTCGTCTCTCAAATTTCTTCTTCCAAACAGAATTCATGCTTCTGTCCATCCTTCACCCAGCGCAGCACGGATTACATTTCATTTCATGTCCAGAGCTTTAATGGTTGATGGAGAATTCTGATTTTTATTTTGCACCTCTTTCCTCCATCAGTAGTTTTCATTCAACTTTTATATATATTTTTGTACTTCTTTAACAGTCCAGCTGCATCATTTTCAGCTCCTGTGATTGATTTCTCTGCTTGACTTTTTCTGCTCCTTTAATACTGCTGCTCAGCTCTCAGTCAGCAGGACGTCAATCCTGTCATGTTACATTGTCCATGCCTTCATGATTATCTTAAGTCGCCTCCAGTTCCTTCTCTTATCCTCTAGTTTTCCTCTTTAGCTTCATTTAAGTTCTTTTGTATTTAACCCTGTGTTCCCTGATCACTCTTTGTTCCCCCCTAGTTCCCCTTTCCTTTCCTTTTAGCTCGCTTCTAGCTGCCTCTGTCCACACCTGCTCCCAATTAGCTGATTACTACGTATTTGCTCTCTCCCTTAGGCCACGCCCACAGTGTAAGCTTTTTAGCCCTAGTTTCAGCCTCCTCTTGCATCCTGCATCGTTTAGTGTACAGGGGGTAGCGAGGGGCGATCAGAGCTATCAGCGTCTATGAGCCGATTTACCACAACCTCACGCACTGCTTATGTGCATATAAAGGAAATCTTCTTCTTCTTCTTCCAGATTAATGAGTCCGACCGGCACCATCTTTCACAGCTGAGTCCAACATGTGTTTCTGGACGTACAGTGTGAGCAGTTAGACCGCATTACAGCATCGGGCCGTAAAGTGGAAGAACAGACATTGTGAGCTGGGAACTTTTAAACCCTGCTATTTCATCATCCAGTTTGAGCTGTAGCTCCGTACAACGATTCAAATATCGTACAGTGTATGCCCGGCTGAAGATTATTGATTGATAAGCAGTATCGATAGGAACAGCTGTATCGGATAATCCTTAATAGTAGCCATTCCTAGTCTGAGCTCTTGGTGGTTTCATCAGATTTGGTCTGTGGATTTAGTCCTGAGTAGAGAATCAGCACCAAGAACACTGGAGTGTTTTGATTGAAACAGATGAATCAATCCAATGGGCAGGATGGTTAATGGGAGAGCTATTGAAGGCATGGAGAAAGTTTGATGGTCAAGCATTAAATAATCAGTGGTTCATTGATATCTGTCTGTCTGTCTGTCTGTCTGTCTGTCTGTCTCTCTGTCTGTCTGTCTCTCTGTCTGTCTGTCTGTCTGTCTGTCTGTCTGTCTGTCTGTCTGTCTGTCTGTCTGTCTGTCTGTCTGTCTGTCTGTCTGTCTGTCTGTCTGTCTGTCTGTCTGTCTGTCTGTCTCTCTGTCTGTCTCTCTGTCTGTCTGTCTGTCTGTCTCTCTGTCTCTCTGTCTGTCTGTCTGTCTCTCTGTCTGTCTGTCTCTCTGTCTGTCTGTCTGTCTGTCTCTCTGTCTGTCTGTCTGTCTGTCTGTCTGTCTGTCTGTCTCTCTGTCTGTCTGTCTCTCTGTCTGTCTGTCTGTCTGTCTCTCTGTCTGTCTGTCTCTCTGTCTGTCTGTCTGTCTGTCTGTCTGTCTGTCTGTCTGTCTGTCTGTCTGTCTGTCTGTCTGTCTGTCTGTCTGTCTGTCTGTCTGTCTGTCTGTCTGTCTGTCTGTCTGTCTGTCTCTCTGTCTGTCTGTCTGTCTGTCTGTCTGTCTGTCTGTCTGTCTGTCTGTCTGTCTGTCTGTCTGTCTGTCTGTCTGTCTGTCTGTCTGTCTGTCTGTCTGTCTGTCTGTCTGTCTGTCTGTCTGTCTGTCTGTCTGTCTGTCTCTCTGTCTGTCTCTCTGTCTGTCTGTCTGTCTGTCTGTCTGTCTGTCTGTCTCTCTGTCTGTCTGTCTGTCTGTCTGTCTGTCTGTCTGTCTCTCTGTCTGTCTGTCTCTCTGTCTGTCTGTCTGTCTGTCTGTCTGTCTGTCTGTCTCTCTGTCTGTCTGTCTCTCTGTCTGTCTGTCTGTCTCTCTGTCTGTCTGTCTCTCTGTCTGTCTGTCTGTCTGTCTGTCTGTCTGTCTCTCTGTCTGTCTGTCTGTCTGTCTGTCTGTCTGTCTGTCTGTCTGTCTGTCTCTCTGTCTGTCTGTCTCTCTGTCTGTCTGTCTGTCTGTCTGTCTCTCTGTCTGTCTGTCTGTCTGTCTGTCTGTCTGTCTGTCTGTCTCTCTGTCTGTCTGTCTCTCTGTCTGTCTGTCTGTCTGTCTGTCTGTCTGTCTGTCTCTCTGTCTGTCTGTCTCTCTGTCTGTCTGTCTCTCTGTCTGTCTGTCTGTCTGTCTGTCTCTCTGTCTGTCTGTCTCTCTGTCTGTCTGTCTGTCTGTCTCTCTGTCTGTCTGTCTGTCTCTCTGTCTGTCTGTCTGTCTGTCTGTCTGTCTGTCTGTCTCTCTGTCTGTCTGTCTGTCTCTCTGTCTGTCTCTCTGTCTGTCTGTCAATGCCGAACTACACAAAGATGTCTGAAATATCACTGTCTTTAAGTTTAGTGACACAGACCTCTCCTTTTGTACCATTTATTTCAGACTGCTGGGCAGTTGCTGTCTAAAGTCATTGCTGATGTTTTACTGCTCTGGCGCTGCTCTAGTTCACATGTATTTAATCCCTATCAGCAAAGTTCCAAAAGTCCATTTAAACTCAGGAATGAATTTGTGGTAAAGACTGCAAAGTATATTTTTCTGCATAAAACTCTTGGTTTGTTGTAGGTTTTATGTTTGTTTTTTTTACCTGAGAGATTTGCTGCATTCGCCAATATATTACTGTAACTCACTTTATACAGGGGTCAGCGACTTGTATATTTCTCATCTTCAGAGGGTTCAAAATGCTGCTGCACGTCTTTTAACAGGTACACGAAAATTCAACCACATTTCCCCTGTTTTAGCTTCCTTACACTGGCTGCCAGTACATTTTAGGATTAATTTTAAAATTCTTGTATTTGTTTTTAAAACTCTTAATGGCCTTGCTCCTTCTTATCTGTCTGAGCTGTTACATTCTTATACACCCTCCCGTTCCCTCAGGTCAGCTGATCAGTTGCTTCTGAGGGTCCCAAAGACTAAATGCAGCTCAGAGGAGACCGAGCTTTTTCTGTGGCAGCTCCTAAGCTGTGGAACGATCTGCCTCTGAGCAGAAGACAGGCCTCTTCTCTTACTGCTTTTAAGTCCCTTCTTAAGACTCATCTTTTTTCCTTGGCTTTTGACACAATTTGAGACGTTTTACTTTGTTTTATTCTTTTTGTATACTAATATGTATTTTACACTCGTTTTTTCTCTATTTTATAATTTTATTGTATTTTATGATTGTGTACAGCACTTTGGTCCTGTTCGGTGTATAAAGTGCTTCATAAATAAAGTTGGTATGGTATGGTATGGTATATATTGATGCAAAGCTGTCTGTCTTTTTTTAGTTTCTGCGGCTTTCATGCGACACACCTCCACAGATCATCTATACTCTGATGACAGCACACTGGCGCTTGCCCTTACCCAACCTGGTGGTTTCAGTGGTGGGGGGTGAGGGGCATGAAAAGATCAAGCCATGGGTGAGAGACATCCTGAGAAAAGGGCTGATACGGGCTGCACAGAACACAGGTGAGAACCCTACCTCTGCATGGGTCCCTGGGTGATGGAAGTGAAAACAATCATTTTGGTCAGGAGAGTCTAGATTGGAAGTTATTTCAGTATAATACCATATTTTACCACCAGATAAATCAGCATATATGAAAGGACTAAGTAGAGCAGGGATTCCCAAAGTGGTGCACCAGCTGCCACCAGGGGATTCCACTACGGGGTTATTCTGCCCTTATATCAAGCTCTCAGCATATAGACCCCACCAGAGGCTCTGTTCGGTAGAGGTCTGGATTCTGTTTGGCACCCTGCTGTGCCTTACCACTGACCGACCTGCCACTGGCTTCTGATAGTGATGGATTGATGAGACTCATAAACTGTTTTCACACATCGCCAAACCGAATTCATACTGTGTCACTAAATGTTGACACCTACTGGAACTTTAACCTACATTAACAGCTTAAATGAACTGAATAACAATACCTCATTTTCCTCTTTCTTAAATGCTAGCAACTTATGGATGAAGGTTTAAAAAGTACACAATTCTATTCAGTTTATTTCTATAGCTCCAATTCACATCATATCATCTCAGGTCACTTTATAGATCCAGATCAACCAGATCATCCAGTCAGATTGATTCAAAGTTTTCTATCTAAGGAAAACCAGCTGATTGCATCAACTCATTGACTCTTCAGCAATCCCTCACACTAAGCATGCTTGTAGCGACAGTGGAGAGGAAAAACTCCCTTTGAACAGGAAGAAACCTCCAGCAGAACCAGGCTCAGTGTGAGCGGCCATCTGCTGAGGCCCACTGGGGTTCAAGGAGACAGAAGCAGACATAGAAAAAGAAGCATAGATACAAAAGGCAACTGTCAACCAGCTCCACAGGCGGCCCCGTCCAGGAAACACACAGCCAGGCAGACGAGCTCCGAGCCAGCTCCCATGTCAGAGGATGAAGAGAGCACATCCAGTTAGTCACAGTCAGAGAAACAGGACTACACTGGAAAACAGGCCAAGCTCCAACATCTAGAAACATTTGATTTGATTGATTGATTGATTGATTGATTGATTGATTGATTGATTGATTGATTGATTGATTGATTGATTGATTGATTGATTGATTGATTGATTGAAGCTAAGAGCAAGATGGGAGAGGGAATTCCTTAAATAGTCTGTGATGCGGCACTGTGGTCGCAGACGACTGGCGCGAGCCCAGAGGGCCTCCTAGGGAGGTCAGTTTTCAAGGCAGGAATCTTCCCCATCCTAAACGTAGGGGCGTCCTGCTTTGCAGCAAGGGGCCCTGCCATCCTAGCTGTTGTAGCAACCAGTTATGGAAACCATTTCAAATAAACTCAGCATGGGCAGAAGACGCCACTAGCGGAATAACAATAGAACAGCAAACAGCATCAGCTGTCTGACAAAGAAAAAAACAGGGTCATCGCAGATGCAGAGGACATCTGTTGGCCTAATTGATTGACCTGCCGCCTGCACAGCCCCTGTAGGGTGAGTACACCCACAGCTCTGAGCACTAGCAGCCAGCAAACTGACAGAGGAAGCAGAAAGACAACTGAATGCACGTGTCTGTAGAACCATTTACAACTAAACCTGCAGGCAAGAAGATCAGAAGGGACTGAACTCCCGGTGTCACATGATTATGTAAACCTAGGTTGATCACTGGTAGGTAACAGGTGACTTTATTGCTTCCTATTCTTGACCTGTGCAAGAGTGATAATACAGTGCTTGACGCACCGCCTCTGTCTCTGGCTGTCAGAAGGGATGAACTTAAAATACTTCTACCAACAGAGACAGAGAAATCTCCTGGCGGTTGCTTGTCAGGATACCTGTAGGCTCATTTGTATACTGATTACTGATTGATCCTTTTTTTAAAGGAGCAGGGTACTGCAATGCACAGCAGAACCTTAGTGATGTTCAGTTACTTTTGGTAGGTTGGATTTTAGGTGCACTACCCCTCTTAGCATATAGCCGGCCTCAATCAACTTCAAATATCGAGTTGGTGGGGGCGGTAAAAACTCTGCTGAAATGATGCTGACATTAATCTTGTTCCCTAAGAGGGGCTGAGATCCCGCCTCCGTTCCGTTATCCAGGCAGATCTAAAGGGAGCAGAATGCTCAGTAACCAGGAGATCAGTGGATGGCTGGTTGGGATCAATATAAATGCTGGAGAAACTTCAAAACCAGATCTATTTTCTCTGGCAGTGCAGGAAGCAGAGGCCATTGACACTCCAGCAGTTGCTGTTTCTCACTACTTACCCTCAGAGTATTTGCTGTGTGATCTGTTTTCAGTTTCTAAAGAGATCACAGTGTAAAATCTCTTAGAATAAATTCTGTAGTTCAGAAATGAAACAGGATGCTGCTGGACTGAACTGTGCGAGATGACAATGCTTCTGAGGACTAGCTTTGTCACAAGCTTTATTCCATTAAAAACTGAAACCATTTATAGAGCAATTAGTTAATTCACCCATTGCTCGCTCTCTGCTCATAGTTGTTGGGTTGTGCTCAATCATATGGTTAAAGTGTCTTGGTTTGTGAATTAGCATTGGTTTGCACTGTTTACTACTGTGATGCTAAGCAGACTCCAGACTTAACTTACCCAGAAATAAAATGTTCTCACAAAAACAACACAGAAAACTTAAATAGTTCATATGAGTACATTTTGATTCAAAAACCAATTCCTCGCATATATTTAAACACTGATCTGCTCTTTAAAGGTCACTATAAAATAGATGAAAGAGAATCATTACAGAACAGGGATATGTTTCATAATTTTTATTTTATTTCTCTATTCGGTTCTAACACGTTGATTTAATCATTTTTAAATGACTAATTGAGCCCATATAGTGAATAATCCTTTGGATCATTTATATTTCTGTTGGTGTCTCATATTATAATTTATATATTTTTTGCTCTTAACCATAAAAAAACTTAACCTTAAAAATGTAGAATCAAAAATGGTATTTTTTACAGTATTGATATTGAGTTAAACTTATAGTGTTTTCCTACAGGGCTCAGTGTCCCAGTCCTGTTGAATACCAATAATACTTCATTATATGACTGAGTGGAAAATTGTGTTTAATAACAAAAACTACTTTAATATTAATAGTTTCTAGTTGTTGTGTGTTACTATATAATTTATTGGTTGCAAAACACTGCAATTAATTTTTTTGGCTCATAAAACCTAAAATGTTTCATATTTGTCAAACATAGAAGTTTGCGATTAAGCAAAGCTGAGTTAGCATCTTTTCTTCCGATCAACATAAAATGCTTTAGAAATGATGAAATGCTCCTTTACTCATATCTTAGGTTGATGCCTTTAGCTTCTTGTAATATCTCCAGCGTTTATTCTCAGGTCTTACTTGCCTCAGGATCTCTAATTTTACTTCTCCAGAGACCTGGATTTTGATGGGAGGTCTGAGAGAGGGAGTGTCCCGCTGCGTAGGAGAGGCTGTGAAAGACCATGGGGCCGTGGCTTCAGCTGAATCCCAGAAAAAGGTCATTGCCATCGGAGTGGCCCCTTGGGGTCTGGTGTACAACAGGAAGCAGCTTGTCAATGCCCAGGTACTCAAGAGTCTAATAACCTTAAAGTAAGTTTGAAAAGAAGGGCTGCTGACTCTTACTTTCTGGTGTTGCTGGTTTGAAGGGAAGTTTCCCAGCTCGGTATTACGTCCAGAACACGACACATGACACCAACTGTTTGGACAACAGCTGCCAAGCCTTCCTCCTGGTGGACGATGGCAGCGTTGGTCAGCGAGGTGGAGAGGCAGCCTTTCAAGCTAATCTGGAGGACTACATTTCCCATCAGCGCACAGGCATTTGGGGTAAGAAGGTTTTGGGGTTTTTTTTAACCCTTTTTCATCTTTTAATAAATGTTGAATTGACATGGTAGGAACCATTGGACCACAGAAGTCAGTCTTTGGGTCAAAGGACTCCTATTATAAAGTGGAAATGAGTCGGAGCGGCTATGATCAGTGCCGCTCCGATAGTGGCTGCGGTAAGACAGGAAGTAGGAAGAGGAAGCAGGAAGTTCCTTATGGACTAATAATCTCCACACCCCACTATTTATTCAGACTTGCTACGGCTGCTGCTGCTGGAATCAGAGAATTAGCTCGAAATTCAAAATATAGTTTCATATTTTGCTCTGATTATGTTCCGTCCCATAGGAGAAATCCTCTTTACCATAACTACCATTTACCGTTTACTGGTCTTCCTGTCGGGGAAACAGGCTTCAGGTTTGGGAATTGACTAACTGAAAAGTGCATCTTTGGAATATTTAAAGAAACAAGTTTAATTCAAGAGCGTCCCATCTACTGGCTCCCAGGAATGCAATAAACGCTATAAACAGCCTCACCTGTTCTATAGTGGATGTTTGCTATAAGCAGCCTCACCTGTTCTATAGTGGATGGTTTGCTATAAACAGCCTCACCTGTTCTATAGTGGATGGTTTTCTATAAACAGCCTCACCTGTTCTATAGTGGATGGTTTGCTATAAACAGCCTCACCTGTTCTATAGTGGATGGTTTGCTATAAGCAGCCTCACCTGTTCTATAGTGGATGGTTTGCTATAAGCAGCCTCACCTGTTCTATAGTGGATGGTTTGCTATAAATGGCATCACCTGTTCTATAAACAGCCTCACCTGTTCTATAGTAGATGGTTTGCTATAAACAGCCTCACCTGTTCTATAGTGGATGTTTGCTATAAACAGCCTCACCTGTTCTATAGTGGATGGTTTGCTATAAACAGCCTCACCTGTTCTATAGTGGATGTTTGCTATAAGCAGCCTCACCTGTTCTATAGTGGATGGTTTGCTATAAATGGCATCACCTGTTCTATAAACAGCCTCACCTGTTCTATAGTGGATGGTTTGCTATAAATGGCATCACCTGTTCTATAGTGGATGTTTGCTATAAGCAGCCTCACCTGTTCTATAGTGGATGGTTTGCTATAAATGGCATCACCTGTTCTATAAACAGCCTCACCTGTTCTATAGTGGATGGTTTGCTATAAATGGCATCACCTGTTCTATAGTGGATGTTTGCTATAAGCAGCCTCACCTGTTCTATAGTGGATGGTTTGCTATAAATGGCATCACCTGTTCTATAAACAGCCTCACCTGTTCTATAGTGGATGGTTTGCTATAAACAGCCTCACCTGTTCTATAGTGGATGTTTGCTATAAGCAGCCTCACCTGTTCTATAGTGGATGGTTTGCTATAAATGGCATCACCTGTTCTATAAACAGCCTCACCTGTTCTATAGTGGATGTTTGCTATAAGCAGCCTCACCTGTTCTATAGTGGATGGTTTGCTATAAATGGCATCACCTGTTCTATAAACAGCCTCACCTGTTCTATAGTAGATGGTTTGCTATAAACAGCCCCACCTGTTCTATAGTGGATGGTTTGCTATAAATTCAATTCAGTTTCAATTCAGTTTATTTATATAGCGCCAAATTCACAACACATGTCATCTCAAGGCACTTTACAGTTCAACCAGATCATACAGTCAAATTGATACAAAGTTTTCTATCTAAGGAAAACCAGTTGATTGCATTGACTCATTGACTCAAATACAATCCCCCACACTAAGCATGCTTGTAGCGACAGTGGAGAGGAAAAACTCCCTTTTAACAGGAAGAAACCTCCAGCAGAACCAGGCTCAGTGTGAGCGGCCATCTGCTGAGGCCCACTGGGGTTCAAGGAGACAGAAGCAGAGATACAAAAAGCAGCTGTAAAAGGCGGCCCCGTCCAGGAAACACACAGCCAGGCAGACGAGCTCCAAGGCAGCTCCCATGCCAGAGGACGAAGAGAGCACATCCACTCAGTCACGGTCAGAGAAACAGGACCACACTGGAAAACAGGCCGATCTCCAACATCTATTAACAAGGGTGTTGATAGAAGCAGCACAGCTGATGTTTTTTTTCCAGGATGACGTCACAGCCAAACAGGAACAGACGAGGCAAAGCTACTCTGAGGAAAAGCAGAGAGAGCAGAAGGTTAGAGATTGAACTAACAGATTCTGCAGAATAGGAGAACAGAGAGAGAATGAAGCAGAATGATGAAATGGGGGTCCCTATGTCCTCCAAATGATGGCATCACCTGTTCTATAGTAGACGGTTTGCTATAAACAGCCTCACCTGTTCTATAGTGGATGGTTTGCTATAAACAGCCTCACCAGTTCTATAGTGGATGTTTGCTATAAACAGCCTCACCTGTTCTATAGTGGATGTTTGCTATAAACAGCCTCACCTGTTCTATAGTGGATGGTTTGCTATAAATGGCATCACCTGTTCTGGTCTCATGCAGTTCTTTTTTTCCAGGCAGCGGCAGTATTGAAATCCCAGTCCTCTGCATGCTAGTGTCAGGAGAGGCCAGTGTTCTGGAGGTGAGTTTACTAATTTACTGCATTAAAAATGGTTGAATCTGCAGGTGCAACAGTGGAGCAAGATCTGATGGGTTCAAATATCTGAGCAGCTTCAATAGGGAGGCCCAGACGTTGTCATGTTGGGGTCTAAGCGTCTAAACCACATGCAGAAACACTCTTCAGACAGGGAAAAGGTTAAATAGTTTATTCACAAAGTTTACAATAATTGTGCACAGGATCTTGGCTCGTCAGACTGGTCACGGAAGGGAAGCCACTAGAGGAGGACAGATCAGTTAGCGTGGATCCAGGAAACTTGCAGTATTGAGGTGACTTGGATTAATACCTGCTCAGTAGAGAATCAGATCAGCAGTGGGGGAACCTTGTGGGTCCAGAGGCTAGTCAGCAGGCTGAGGGCTGAGGGCAGAGGTGGAGGCGGAGGGCAGACAGGCAGGTTCCAGGCAGCGATTGTTTTTCTCCAGGATAATACAGATATCCAGATAACCAAACTAAGATCAACACTGCAGCGTTGAAGGAAGGTCTGGCAGCTGCTTATGAAGGGAAGGTCTCCTGATGAGTAGATGCGTCTCAGGAGGGCTCCAGCCCAGGAGACCCACGGCGCACTCTGCTGGAGGAAGGTGGTACATCCCCAGATCCCAACACTAGGTCCAGATTATAAGGTTCCCCCAGTCCAAACATGCCTCACACATAAAAAATAAAATATAATCCATGAAGGAAGGAATCAGAATATTTATTCCATTTTTAAGGAATCAGAATATTGGCTTGGCAGACTCAGAGTGTGAGGAGGGGGATTAAAGAGTGATTTTAATTAGTCAATTAAAAATGTAATAATATTGAAGCTGAAGTGGATATTTTTGCTCTGAGTTTGGAATCCTGAAAACATCCTGAAACCTTTAAACATTTTTACTGAAACTATCAAATGCCTTCATTGTGTTAGTGCGGCTCTAGTCCTCTGGTTTAGTCACTGATGTCTTCTTTCTCTCCCTGGATTAGAGATTAGACATGTCTCTGAAGAAGCTGACGCCCTGGCTGGTTCTGGCTGGTTCCGGTCCAGCAGCTGATTTTATTAGCGACTTGGTTGACGACCAGTCGGCTGTGATGCTCAGCCGTACCTCTGCTCCAGCTGATGAAGAGGCCGTCAGTGCAGACATCTGCGAAAGAGTCCGTGACAAAGTCTGCAAACACTTCCCAGATCAGGCCGAGCCAGAAAAACTGGTCAACAGTGTGAGTGACTGTAGGAGTGTTTTCTGAGAAAGCAGAGATGATGTCACAGCTGCCATTGTTCAATTAGAGGCGGGACCGCAGACAGGTGGCCAGCGGGGACACCTGATCTAAATTAGTTTCTCATTCTGAGCCAAAGTCTTAACTTCTGTTTCTTTGTCTGTCAAAAGTATTTACACAGCCTCAACTTTCTCCATATTTTACATCAACTCTGCTGCAACAGTTTCTGATCAGTCAGATCCATTCCACCCCCAAAAAAAGCACAAACACACACTTTCCCTTTTCTGTAAGTTTGAGCTTTATCTGTGAAACTCATGTTACCATTTTAAACTTTGCCGGTTCAGGCTTGAAGTAATGATTCTTTTTATGTGATAATAATATAGTATTAGCTGATAATTCATGATACTAAGGTGACATAACGTTGTTTGCCTTTCTGCTTGTATTTCCAGGCTCTAAGTATTTATCAGGGGAGAGACCTCATCACTGTTTACGATGGGAAGCAGGAGGGAGCCGATGACTTTGACACAGTTCTTCTAAAAGCACTGGTCAAAGGTAGGTGGTACCAGTTTACTTAGGGGGGACGTTTTGAAGTGCACTTTAAATAAATTTTAGGAAAATAAAAGCATATTTAAAAGTTTTGATGAACTTCAAAAATAACTTGCTTTTAACCTGGATGATTCCAGTCACTAAAGGACTGATCCAATACCTGATGGCGCTAGACAGGCTAAGGCTAGCGAGGACGTTGCAGTCACTTTGAGGTCATGCCCCCTGGGCATAGAGCATAGAGCAGTGGTTTCTAAAAAGGCTAGATGACCCAGAATCCAGGCAAGAGAATCAGCAAGAAGAGGTTTGCTGGAAGGTCCACCAAACAAATAGCTTTCAGTTACCAACTAGGAAAGTCAGAAATATATAGTGCTTCTACGAGGGTTAGTACACAGATTAACTCCCAGAAGACACAAAAAAACTGGTTTAGACTTAGACGACTTTTATTGTCATTCTTTGTATACTAAACAAAATTTGGTTTTGCTCAGCATTCAGACAGTAAATGAACAGTAGTTTAACAGCCGCACATCATAAAGTGCAGCAGTGATCAAATGAAAACATTGTGGGAGAAAAAAAAAACATGGTGCAAAAGGCATTGATCTGGAAGTTCAAAGATCAGGAGCCAACAAATGTATTAACCAACAATACGAAGGCAAAATGTGGGTAGATTGAAAAACACAGAAAAGGTACAGAGAGAGCAGAACGTTAGAGATTGAACTAACAGATTCTGCAGAGTGGGAGAATAGAGATAGAATGAAGCAGAATGATGAAAAAGGGGTCCCTATGTCCTCCAGCAGTCTAAGCCTATAGCAGCAGAACTATAGAGATAGATCAGGATAACCTGAGCCACTCTAACTAGAAGCTTTATCAAAAAGGAAAGTTTTAAGCCTAGCCTTAAAAGTAGACAGGGTGTCTGCCTCACGGACTAAAACTGGTAGTTGGTTCCACAGGAGAGGAGCCTGATAACTAAAAGATCTGCCTCCCATTCTACTTTTAGAAATTCTAGGAACCACTAGTAAACCTGCAGATTGAGAGCGAAGTGCTCTGTTAGGAACATCAGGAACAATCAGATCTCTGATATCAGATGGAGCTTGGCCATTTAAGGCTTTATATGTGAGAAGGAGGATTTTAAATTCTATTCTGGATTTAACAGGAAGCCAATGAAGAGAAGCCAGGATAGGAGAGATATGATCTCTCTTTTTCATTTTCATCAGAACTCTGGCTGCAGCATTTTGGATCAGCTGAAGGCTTTTAACTAACATCAGCCACATGGAATGATGCTACCACCGCTATGTGTCACCATGGGGATTCTTTGCTGAAGTTTTGTTCCATATTTTCTTTTGTAGACTAAAACTGAAACTCTGGCCTTTTACTGCATGTCTCCTATCTGACTTCTCTGCATTCCCATTCAGCTGCTGCTCCTCTACTGCTCTCCTTGCTCTAATATTGTTTTAGAACTCAACCCCGCTTTGACCCCTTCATCATCCTCCCTGACCCGCCTGCTGTGCTGCATAGTCTTCATGATGCAGGTTGTGGTCTGATGTTCATTAACAGACCAGAAACATCCAGGCGGAGCCTTTTTGGCAGCCTTGCAGCTTTAAAAGCAGTTAGCACTGGAATATATTCAGGGTTAGGAAGCATGAAGGAGACGACTTCACAGAAAAGCAAACCATCCTTTTCTGATTGGTGTTTAAAAACCTTTGATATTCATGAATATCAAATATTGTTTCAGTTACACAATGCGGCCCTCTTCTGTATCGCAGTGATAAATAGTAAAATTAGTAATTGGAAGCTTGTTTTTAGAGGTGTTTTCTGACTGCTGGATATAAGAGATCTGAAGACATTTCCTAGAAGTGAGAGTCAGTGTAGGCGTGTTTTCCTAGAAAGCACTGAGTGTGGCGGCTGCCTTTGTGTAATGATGGGCTGGACCTACAGGTAGAGACAAACAACAGGAACCGATGGCTGCCGTTGCTCCTGCCCCGAAACCAGACACACCAGATTTAACAGAGCCAACAGATTTTACTGGAATAACTGATGTCATAATATCTGTAGGGAGGGGGGGCCTAGTGGGGAGGGTGCCTAGTGTGAAGGGGCAGAGGCCGAGTGGGGAGGGGGGCCTAGTAGGGGGGGTGGGAAGGGGCTCTATTAGGGAGGAGCGGCGTGGTGTGTAGGGGCGGCATAATGGTTAAATCATAGAGCTTGGAATACTGAGGTTTTGAGTTCGAGCCCCAATCCCACAGACTGACACTCTGGGTCCCTGAGCAAGACCCTTAACTCCTCATTGCTCCCTGGATGCCGCACAATGGCAGCCCACTGCACCCCGAGGGGAGGGGTTAAATGCAGAGAGGAAATTTCTTCAACCTGAGATCAATAAAATGATTGTTTTCTGTTTATTACGTCTCTCATATGATACTGATGATGCAGAAATCTCCAGCATCCATAAATCATTCATCTTTTTCCTGACAATAAAAGAAAACAACATCCTAATATGATGAATAGAAAAAGATGAATTAAAGACAGAAATATTACAGAAAGTCTCTGGGCCTTTTTATCTTGGTCTTTATATAGAGTAAGACAGTAAGATGATGATATTTGAGTTTTGGATCTATTATATGTATTTATTTGGTAGAAATTAAATCAAGTTTTAGACCAACTCCCATTGAATAGAAGAAATAAATTCCTAAAGTGACACTCCTGCAGACACTGTTTTTTAAGCAGGCTGTGCAACCCCCCGCCGGAGGCGGAGCATGGAGGACACTATGAAAGGAGTAAAGCAGAGTTTCTGCACCACATAACTATGGAAAAGCAGGTGTGACGCTTAAATAAAACAGAAATTTCTGAGAGTGATCAGCTATACAGTAACTCCTAGACATCTACAGCCACATCTGTGTGATGTTAGAGTGACAGAAAAAAATAACAACAGCTAAAAGAAGACAACAGAAAACTAGAGGGCATCCAAAAAGCATCAAGAGGAGCTGGCATCCCTTAGATATCCATATGTGTGGGAAAGAAAAAGGTTTAGCCCCTAAGTCCACCCCACCAGGCCCAGTACGGCATCCAGGCTACCCGAGCACAGGTACCCAAGAAGACGCCAAGGAGAGCCAGAAAGGCCCCGCCCCATCCTGAGGTGGAATGGAGAGAAAGAACCCAACCAGCCCCCCCTCCTGCTTGGGTGTATTGTTGAAGCCTGTTGTACTACTGTGTGTTTAAAAGAAGAGGGGAGGGTGGGTGTGCCCCCTAAATCTCCCACCCTGAACTCTAAGTGCTTAAATGCATTCTAACAACCAAAGTTAGGCATGATCAGCAGGAGCAAATCTAGAAAGGCTGTACCCCTCCAGGGCCCCAAATATGCCCACCCTAATGCCCTCTATATGTGTGTCTTGGAGATGCTATACTCTTTAATAATAATCTTAATTGATAAGTGAAGTATCTGATGCTGATTATGGTCTTCATTAAAAATTGGGACCTAGGATCTCCTCCCCAGGGTCCTATGGTGTGATAGAGCACGGGAGGGGAAGCATGGGGAGCAAAGGACTGGGGAACTGGGTTCTTCCAGGGAGCCAGCCCCCCTACTGACCCTAATAAGCACCCTGTTCTCTACCCTCCACCAGGGGAATGTCATGATGTGTTTTAGAGGTCTGACCCAAAATGCAGAGAACCATTCAGGGAGTAAGGCAAAGGTTTAACAGGTTTATTGAGGTAAGGGTAGAAGGGGGTATGATCTGGAACTCAGGGAGCTGGTGAACAGGAACTAGGAAGTGTTTGGGGGGGTCCTTCTCTCACTTTGCATCCAGCCTGTGTGGATTGATCCAGAGAAGAGGGGACATGTTGAAGAGTGGACAGGTAGACATTCTTTAGACCCAGAGGAGCACTGGAGCGGACTGTCACTTGGATTTCCGTGAGGGACTTGAACGGCACATGTGGAGGTTTCTCCCCTGCTCAGTGTGAACTCAGAAAACAATCCTTCCAGGGGAAGAAGACCAAACTTCCAGTATGCAGTAGGACTTCATGTCAAAGGCAAAGACAAAAACAAGGTTTGACTCAGTGAAACAAAGACTCAGATTAGACTTTGCTAATCTAAGCATGGCTAGAGTTCCCAAAACTGGCAAACACTCTGGCGTCGAGGTAGTGACAGTCCACTGCTTAAGTAATCCTCCAGATAATTATCCAAAGAGCTGCAGGTGTGCAGGGAGGACCAACAAGGACAGGGTGCCACCTGGTGGTGGAGGGAGAGACAGACACAAAACAGACCACACAAACTGGATTCCTGACAGGGAAAAAGGCACCAGGGGTACACCGCAACTCAGACTGGGACCCCCCAGCACCCCCACCGCCACACCCTAAGCATCTGAACTTTATGTTTAACCAAAGTTTCTCAAAGAACTTGGAATGAGGTCAATTAACTTTAAACTAATCAAGAGTAATTGGGATGATTTCAATCCAATTCAATGCAAAATGACCCAATAGGTGACGTTACCTTCTTCTGTCCAGACGGTCGACCACTGCAGATTAATGGAGGGAAGAGGAAATAAATAAAAACCAGAAACATAATTTATCTGCTTAGATGGACTTTTTTCATTTAGTAATCTTTGGGCTTCAATCAAGCTGGAAGCTAATTATTGCATCACATACAGGAAGTAATCAGACTGAGGAAAATCATCCTGATTTCAGGACAAATGGTTAAAATCTGCATTTGGTCTATAAGACATTTTCTAAACTACAATGATGGTTGGCTTTCCTATGATGATTTTTGCTCACTGTGTAATTTAAACTGCTCCTATGCTCAGTTTAAAACTGTCATAATCTCTAATCCAGAAGCAAACACGTGATGCGCACTAAACTTCTGGTCCTGACAGTGCAGGAGACCCCGTTTTACAGGTCTGCAATGAAGGGTCCTGAGAGTGCAGGTCTGCAGCCAGACTCTCTGCTCTTCATGATCAATTATCCATTTCACAGAAACATTACAGCCTGATTCTCAGTGGGGGTTTTCCTGCTGGTTCTCTATTAATCCCCCATTGATGCAACTGCAGTCTAATATTTACCCTTCACAGTTGTACTGTTACAGCAAACAAGAAAAATAATACACGGATATCTATATATATAAAACTTGAAGCTATGGCTATATAGCTGCTTACTTGTATATTTGACAGCCAGATTTTCATATTGCAGTGAATATGAAATTTCACAGAAATCCAGGTAATGACTCTCCTGCGATGGCATAAATCCTAGTTTTATACAGCGTAAAGGCAAGGGCCTGCAACCCTGCAAGTAACACAGCCAACACACTGTTCTAGGATCTGGCATCTATACCTAAACTGTGGCTGTGGCATTTTGGATCAGCTGAAGGCTTTTAACTACAGTTTGTGGACTTCCTGATAGTAAAGAATTACAATAGTCCAGCCTTGAAGTAACAAATGCATGGACTAGTTTCTCAGCATCACCCCTGGACAGGAGATTGCTCATTTTTGCAATATTCCTCAGATGAAAGAAGGAAATTCTAGAAACCTCTTTGATCTGGGATTTAAATGACAGGTCCTGATCAAAAATAACACCAAGATTTTTTACTTTATTATCTGAAATCAGTTTAATCCCATCCAAATGAAGTGACTGGCTAATCAGCTTCTTTTTCAGAGACTCTGGTCCAAAGACTATAACTTCTGTTTTGTCTGCATTCAGAAGCAGAAAGTTAAGAGTCATCCAGGTTTTTATGTCTTCAGACATGCCTGTAATCTATGTAATGGGTTAGCTTCATCTGGATTATAGACAGATATAGCTGGGTATCATCAGCATAACAGTGGAAATTAATCCCATGCTGTCTAATAACTCTACCAATTGGGAGCATGTATAAAGTAAAGAGAATTGGTCCTAGCACTGATCCCTGTGGTACTCCACAGGTAACCATTGAGCGTGTTGAAGATCTATCATTAACATGAACAAACTGAATTCGATCAGATAGATCAGATTTAAACCAGTCTAGAGCTGTTCCTTTAATTACAACAAAATATTCAAGTCTTTCTAAAAGAATATTATGGTCAACTGTATCAAATGCAGCACTGAGATCCAACAGGACGAGCACAGATACAAGTCCATTATCTGAGGCCATGAGAATATCATTAGTGACTTTCACCAGAGCTGTTTCAGTGCTATGATGAGCTCTAAAGCCAGACTGAAACTCTTCAAAAGTTTTTCTAAAGTAAATCACGTTTACAACCAAGTTTAAAGAATTTGTGAAAACTTAAACTTACAATTGATTTTATTAAAGCAGTAAAGATTACAAAACTAATCTCATTTATGATAATTTCCGGCAAATGAATGTTGTGTTCCTGATGTGTTTGTTAACAGCTAGTAAGCGTGTGTCCAGTAAGGCCAGTGAGTACAAAGAGGAGCTAAAACTGGCTGTGGCCTGGAATCGAGTGGACATCGCCAAAGCTGAACTCTTCAATGGAGACATACTATGGAAGGTAATTTTTTTATGACATAAAATATGTTTTTGCTATTAAGGTGAGCTTCTAAGCTGCCTTCATTTTTGAAAATAATATACAGTTAGTTTTCTGATCTTAACCAAAATTTGAACAATTCATTAGTTCTTATGTCTTAACCCCAAGATCAGAGCAAATGATGTAAATAATTAGAACAAACGGCTGCAATATTAAAAGCCTGAGGTGAAACTTCTACTGTTGCCTCCAATGATCTGCCTTCAATATTTATTTTTTTTACACATTTCATATCACAGTTTCTCAATACATTAAGACACATCAAGGGTAGAGCTTTTCCACTTGGCTTAAAGGTTAAAAAGTTTTCCGTGATGAACAGGTTATGATTAGGATGCTGCCCAGAAACGCTGTGTTTTTTATTTTAACAATGTTTTAAAAAGGTGCTTCAATGCTCTATTAACATGTCAGATGGAGCCTCATCGCTTCTTTCTAGAGGAAAATCAGACCCCAATACAAAAGGTCTGTAAACACCCCTTTGGCCACAGACATGACATGCTAATGCTAGCATGCTTCTTCACTGATGACTGGTTCGGTTGAGCTACATGATGGGTCACAAGACTGACAGGCTGATAAACAGCTGCTCCCTTATCATGGGCCTTCAATGTGAAAATGGTTATTAGAATACTTTAGTTTCTGGCTGAAACTGACCCTGGAGGGATCCTCACATGGGCAAGGAAGAGACATTCTGGCAGGGAATAACTGAGAGAGGTTGTTATAATGAAGCAGCTCAGAGGAATGAAGATGATTTCCCAGTATTTTATTCTCATTCCACTGTCACAAGTACAGAGCAACCAAATTCACTCTCTGCATTTAACCCATCCCCTTGGGGAGCAGAGGGCAACCATTGTGCGGCCACCGGGGAGCAGTGTGGGTTAAAGGGCTGGTTATCCTCCCACAACAGTGTGTTCCAATGAGCTTGATGCAGATATTTTTGATTTATGGCCAATATTGAAGCGTGGTCTGCGCTATGTTACAGGTCCTTCTCAAAATATTGTGATAAAGTTCATTATTTTCCATAATGTAATGATAAAACTTGAACATTCATTTATTTTAGATTCATTGCACACTAACTGAAATATTTCAGGTCTTTTATTTTCTTAATACGGATGATTTTAGCATTCAGCTCATGAAAACCCAACATTCCTATCTCACAAAATTAGCATATTATGAAAAAGGTCTCTAAACGAGCTGCTATGCACCTAATCATCTGAATCAACAAATTAACTCTAAACACCTGCAAAAGATTCCTGAGGCCTTTAAAACTCCCAGCCTGGTTCATCACTCAGACCCCAATCATGGGTCAGACTGCCGACCTGCCTGCTGTCCAGAAGGCCATCATTGACCCCCTCAGGCAGAGGCTATGACACAGAAAGATATTTCTGAACCAATAGGCTGTTCCCAGAGTGCTGCTGCATCAAGGCGCCTCAGTGGGAAGGAAAAATGGCAGAAAACGCTGCACAACCAGAAGAGGTGACCAGACCCTGAGGAAGATTGTGGAAAAGGGCCGATTCCAGACCTTAGGGGACCTGCGGAAGCAGTGGACTGAGTCTGGAGTAGAAACATCCAGAGCCACCGTGAACAGGCGTGGGCAGGAAATGGGCTACAGGTGTCGCATTCCCCAGGTCAGCCGCTTTAGAACCAGAAACAGCGGCAGAGGCGCCTGACCTGAGCTACAGAGAAGCATCTCTGGACTGTTGCTCAGTTTTACACGTCATTTGGAAATCAAGGTGCCAGAGTCTGGAGGAAGACTGGGGAGAAGGAAATGCCAAAATGCCAGAAGTCCAGAGTCAGGTAGCCACAGTCAGTGATGGTCTGGGGCGCCATGTCAGCTGCTGGTGTTGGTCCACTGGGTTTTATCAAGGGCAGGGTCAATGCAGATATCAGGAGATGTTGGAGCACTTCATGCTTCCATCTGCTGAAAAGCTTTATGGAGATGAAGATTTCATTTTTCAGCACCACCTGGCAGCTGCTCACAGAGCCAAAGCCACTGGTAAATGGTTCACTGACCATGGTATCACTGTGCTCAGTTAGCCTGCCAACTCTCCTGACCTGAACCCCATAGAGAATCTGTGGGATATTGTGAAGAGAAAGTAGAGAGACGCAAGACCCAACACTGTGGATGAGCTAAAGGCTGCTATGGAAGCATCCTGGGCCTCCATGACACCTCAGCAGAGCCACAGGCTGATTGGCTCCATGCCATGTCACATTGAAGCAGTCATTTCTGCTAAAGGATTCCCCACCAAGTATTGAGTGCATAACTGTACATTTTTGTACATTTTGTATTGAGAACACTTTTCTTTTATTGGTCGGATGAAATATGCCAATTTTATTAGATAGGAATTTGGGGTTTTCATGAGCTGAATGCTAAAATCATCCGTATTAATAAAAGACCTGAAATGTGTCAGTTAGTGTGCAATGAATCTAAAATATACGAATGTTCAAGTTTTATCATTACATTATGGAAAATAATTAACTACATTGCAATATGCTAATATTTTGAGAAGGAGCTGTTATTCCACGCCACAACGCAAGAGGACCAATCAGGAACTAGCTGTGGGTCTAGATATGGCCGAGGCGGTGAGGAAGTGGGGGCGAGTTTCTCCGACAACGGAGGTACATGAGGGCCAAAAAGAGCGGGGATCCAGGAACCAAACAGGAAATATGCATAGTGTAGAGCGGATGGAGAACTGACCAATCAGAGGCCAGCTGTCTGAGGTCAACTACAATTTGGGAGAGATGCAGTGTCTGCGAAGGGGGCGGGGCATATCTGCTTTCACTGCGACACACACGCTGACGACTTGGTTTCTGAGCATAAACTAGCGTTAAGGGTCTTGCTCAGGGACCCAAGCTGTATGCCCTAACCCAGGGGTGCTCAATACGTCGATCGCGATCTACCAGTCGATCGCCAAGGTACTATTGGTAGATCGCATGACAAAGTGAGGCGAGATTGCCATGAACTGACGCTATGCAAATAAAGTTGAATTGTTTTGAATAAAAAGTAGACGTCAGCCTATCAGCCAAACCGACACTTGATTGATACACAGGACAACCAATCAGATGACAAGCTTGTTAACTTTGCTAATTTTTGCATCCTAATTTTTCGCTCGGTTATGAAAATGAGTGGGGAAGCTGGACCAAGTAAGAAGAAAAAAACGTATCACTTTCATACAGAATGGGAGGAGGACTTTTTTTTCACAATGACATTTTCAAAGTGCGTTTGTCTCATCTGCCAATCTACCCTCTCAATACCAAAGAAGGGAAATGTGGAGCGACATTTTCGGACTCTTCATGGAAAATACGACACTGAATTCCCACCGAAAAGCGAGCTGAGAAAGACAAAGGTGAAGGAGCTAAAATCCCAGTTGTTGGGACAGCAGTCATTTTTCACACAAGTTACTTCTAAAGCTAAAGCTGCTACAGAAGCATCGTTCCGAGTAAGTCACATCATCGTTAAAAACAAGAAGTCATTTCGAGATGGAGAGATGGTAAAAGAGGCATTCGTTGAAGCAGCGGACTCATTGTTCCGGGACTTTAAAAATAAAGCAGAAATATTGTCTTCGATCAAAGCTCTCCAGCTGTCAAGGAGTACAGTTACACGGCGCTGTGAAGCCATGGCTGAGGACTTAACGCAGCAAATGTGGAAGGACATCGGAGATTGCGAGTGTTTCTCACTGCAGTTGGATGAATCTACGGATGTAAGTGACACAGCACAGATGTGCGTTTTTATTCGTATGGTGTTTAGTGATATGACTGCAAAGGAGGAACTGTTAACATTACTGCCCATGAAAGAAAAGACGCGAGGAGAGGACATATTTCTGTCGTTTAAAAACTTTATTGAGAAAACCCAGCTGCCGGTGTATAAATTGGTGTCTATCACCACAGATGGCGCACCTGCAATGATTGGTCACTTGAATGGATTTATTGCCAAGTGTAGGCAGGACGATGCTTTCCCAGATTTTCTGAATTACCATTGCATAATCCACCAACAAGCATTATGCGCTAAAATGCTCAACATGAAAGAAATCATGGATGTCGCAACGAAAATTGCCTGTGCTATTCGAGCCCGGTCTCTTCAAAGACGGTTGTTCCGTGCACATCTGGAGCAGGCTGACTGCGACCACTCTGACTTGTTGCTACACAAAACGCAAACTGCAACATCTGTCCTCAAAGCTGCAGCGTCATGATTTGGCAAACTTCCAGAACCTGGCGTCAGAGCTGGAGATGCAGGGGAAGGCCTGTGTGCAACTTGACAGTGAACGCTACACAGAACAGATTGACAGCTGTATGTCAGAGTTTGAAAAACGCTTTCAAGACTTTTCTTTGCTGGAGCCAGTTGCAACATTCATGTGTTTTCCTTTTCGGGAAGATGTGGAGATTGATTCACTCTCATCAAAAATTGCAACACTATTTCACCTGAACTCTTCTGGAGTGGAAGATGAGATATTCACACTACAAGCTGACATTGAGCTAAAGTCCAGAGCTCATGGACAATTCTGGAACTTACTAGCAGAGGGAAAGTATCCCAACATGAGGAAATGTGCTATTTCCTTGACTGCATTTTTCGGCTCCACTTATTTATGTGAGTCAGCCTTTTCCTACATGAAGATAATTAAGTCCAAGTACCGCTCCACTATGACTGATGAGCATTTGAAAATGTGCTTGAGGCTGGCTGTCAGCAGCTACTGTCCTGACTATATATCCTTGGCTGATTCAATTCAGTGCAAGTCATCAGAGTGAACTCAGAAAATGGCAAAGAATGTACATAGTTATGTTGTGTTGTTCAACATATGTGGTTATACATTAAAATAAGTTGTAAGAATCCTCAATATATTTTTCTCAATAAATATAATGGGTAGATCATTTTGACTTGGTCATTTCAAAAGTAGCTCCCATGCTGAAAAAGTGTGAGCACCCCTGCCCTAACCTCTAGGCCGCCACTCCCCTTAACTATATCGATGGTGGCATCTATTTATCCAAATTAGCAGAGTGGAGCAGAGTATAAAGGAGCACAAAAAACTAACAAAAAACAGAATTCTTGTCTAGTGATGAGTTTAGAAAAAAGAATCTGGGGGTTTGTCCCATGTCTTCAATACTGAATTCATTCTAGGATGAAACGGTACCAATGGCACCCGAAATGAGAAAATAAACTCAGCTTTTCAAGCATTTTAATCACCAAGATGATTGTTCTTTTCATCATATTCTGTTTTAGAAAGCATTGAACTGTTTGCATGATGCAAAGACTAATGAGGCTTTTTCCCTTTCAGTACGACGAGCTCAAGGACTCGATGACGGATGCTCTGATCAATGATAAGCCCCAGTTTGTGCGTCTCTTTTGTGAAAATGGTCTCAACATCCTGGAATATTTGACACATGAGCGCTTGGAGAGTTTATATCGCTCACTGTCAGACAGCTTGCTGGTTTACAATCTGCTCAAGAGGCTTTTGAGTGAAAGGCAGAGCCTGGCTGGATCCCTGCCCTCTGTGGATGGAGCTGCACCAGATGTCTGGATGAACACCAATACTTCTCACAGTCCTGCTGTCTCAGCATCAGGTCTTAGCCTGTTTGAGGTGAGTTGCACACAGAAACAGCCGTCAGATGCCACTGCTGTGAACATGAAATGAGGAACAGAGCAGTCCACTGCCAAAACAGAAGAACTGAATAATCTATCTCAATTAGGCTGATGCTTGTGATAAAAGTTCGGTTCGTTCCCAGGTTAATAAAAAACCAGGGCTTTGATGTGTTTGATTTACTAAAGATGAGGAGCGGAAATGTAACATAAACCAAACTAATCAACCAACAGTCAGACCATTGGCTGCAGCTGCAGGAGGAAAGAGACTCAGATCAAATGAACCAGAAGGGTGGAAAACTGCTTATAAGGAGGTAATCTGGTTCAATGGTTCTCCAGGATCAACAAGGGTTCATCTCAGGAGGTTTTTACAACTGAGCAGTGACCTTTAGTTTATATTTTAGGAAAGCTAGTTATACGAAGCTTTTCTACCAGTCAGCTTGGATATATAAAAGTTCCTCATGAAATATAATAAGAGGCAGTTACAGGAAAACTGTAAAGTTCTTCTTTATACTTTCGAAGCCATCAATAGCCTCACTCCTCCATATCTGTCAGACCTGGGTGGTTTGGTCTGACTTTTTATCTTCTGTGGGGATTTTGTCGATGCAATAATGACTGCAGTAAGTAAACAGAGTGTTCTGTTACGCAGGGTTAGTAGATCCCAATCTGTGCAGATATTTTTATATTTTTTTCCCATAGAACCGCATTGACTGATTATAAAAAATAAAACCTTCAGACACAGCTACAAAGCACAATTTAATGGCTAGCTAGCACACCACACTCTTCAAACAGAACAGATGATTTTGCTGTATACAAAATATAGTGGCAACTACTAGGTTGTTCGTTTGTACCGTATACAAGCGCCATAGTGCTAGAAGTAGGGGGTCATGGGATAACACTGGGAATCCTTTCCCAGTCTCTCAGTTTTTGGAGGTTTGAGTAGAAAACCTAAAACTCTTATGTAAAGCCATTAATCTTAAATTCTGCTGCAGTTTTACATGCCAAATACTACCGATAATCCTGCTTTTAATGCAGTGAGAGCTGAGCTGTACAACCTTTCTGTATTGATAGATGTAGATTAAGCAGAGTGTGACTGTGCTGCAGGTCTCCCGTCTGCTGCAGGACCTTCTAGGTGATGTCTGTGAGCCGTTCTACTACAGTGCTTTGGAACTGGACCCTAGAACTGGCACTAGAAAATCACTAAAGGTCAGTAAGCATCTATCATCCTTCTCTCTATCTAACCATACCTCCCTCCACTTCCTCCATCCTGTGTAGAACTTTGAGGCTAAACAAACTCCTAATACAGGAAACGTTTGCTAACCCTGTTTGTCTTTTCAAACCTAAGCAAGTCAACAAGATCCTGCAGGGGGAGTGTACCTACCGGAAGCAGGCCTGCCCCTCACCCTGGGAAGCTCTCTTCATTTGGGCTGTTTTACAGAACCGCTCTGAAATGGCGATATACTTCTGGGAGATGGTGAGCTTCGAGCGGACGATGTTACCTTAAAGTTTGTAGTCTAATGCTGATTTGTTAAGTTTAACATTGACCATTTGAAGGTGATGACCATAGTGGCAGAACCTACTGCTACTTTTTTATCAACTGACATTAATTTATTTCAACTTAATGAAGATTATCTGTGTCTCTTTGTCAGTCAGGAGAATCTGTGCTGAGCGCTCTTGGTGCCTGTAAGATATTGAGGGAGCTTTCCAAGCTGGAGAATGAAACAGAGAGCAAGCTTGGCATGAAAAAACTCGCACAGAGGTTCGAGAACCTGGCAAATGGTGAGTCTTTTCCCAGGGGATGATCCTCACGTACTTTACTCAGCTGTGAATCTGACAGTGGTATAGGATTAGGACGCACACATTCATCCTGCAACTGAAGAGCTGCTGTTTCCGACCCTCCACTCCATCTCATCGTCCATCCCATCTACTGGGAACACTGGGCCATTTTTTTTGGCATAACATTTTATAGATCAGAGGAAGCAAGGAGGCATAGAGGAAAAGGCTAGAAAACAAGCTCCAGCAGGACAATATCAGAGATGAAGATCCTAGGCTTCCAGCACAAGGATGATCAGACAGATGGACGTCTGGACAGAACCAAAGAACTGAATCCATTCTTCAACTGGTTCAGTTCAGGAACAAGATCAGCATCTGTCTCTCCTGCCCACAGTCACATGGGCATCCTGCCCTCCTCTGACATCACTCTCCTGCTTCTATTATCAGCCAGACCAGCAGGTGGTGCTGCTCCCTCCACCTTCCACCTGTCTGTCTCTAGAAGTCAGTAAAGAGGCAACTGGAGAGACTGGATGGTGATCAGTCAGCAGGTCCTGAAGGCCTGAGCAGAGCAGCTCTGTGGGATTCTACAGCACCTCTTCCCCCTTAGTCTGACCCTGGAGACAGTTCCAGGGATGTAGAAGACATCCTGCCTTGATCCAGGACCAAAGAAGACTCAGCCAGCCGTCCTCAGTGACTTTAGACCTGTTGCCCTGACAACCACATCGTGAAGGTCCTAAAGACACTTATGCTGGTTCACCTCAACAAGCAAACCAGCAGCTATTGGGACCCCTGCAGTTTGCTTATCGCCATGGAGATGGGGTTGATGATGTCATCATCCACCTGCTTTAACCAACTCACTTTCATTTAGCCAAGGCAGGCAGCACTGTGAGGATCATGGTCTTTGATTTCTCCTGATTCAGCCTGACTGACTTAGAGAGAAACTCCAGCAGACTCAGGTGGAGCATCAACAACCAGCTGGATCAAAGACTACCTGACAGACAGACTGGAGGCTCAGCTGGCTGATCCAGCAGCACAGGGGACGGTACTCTCTCCATTCCTCTGTTCACCTCTGGCTTCCAGGACCAGACAGAGTCCTGTCATCTGCAGGAATCCTGGGATGACTCTGCAGTCATTGGGAGCATCAAAGATGGAGCAGAAGCTGAGGACACAGAAATAACCCATCAGACAACGGAGCCTCACAGCGAATGTCTCCTTAAAGCTGCAGGATGGATCCTTAAAAAGAGAAAAGTTTAATATATGCATTAAATCCTTTGCTATGGCCTAACATGATACTTATTTTTTTTTTTTAAGTTGGGTTTAACAGTCACTCTTTAACACTCTTTAACATTCCACAGCAGTTATTGCTCATCTGCTTAACAATCAGCCAGGCTCTCATGTAGGTTTGATTGAATATCTTGTGTATTTGAATGCATTAGACTTTGAATATTTCTTTTAATTATAATTTATAATTTAATATTGGAAGTTTAATAAGATCTTAATATATGAAAGGCATCAGACCAAAATTTAACCGGACAGTGGTTCAGGTGGTTAAAAGTTCTGTTTCATCCCTACTGAGCGCCACAGGGTGGTGCTGTAATATCATGGATTCAATGTTGAGTTACACATGACCTCTTGTGGAGCTCTTGCTGGCTGCCTTGGCAACTCTCTGGCTCACCTCATGTTTGCCCTCTCTACATCTGTTCAGGACGCTGGGGGTGCAACTGCGGCGGTTAGATTTAGCCCTGCAGGCACTTGTGCTGATGAGCAGAGAGCTTGATGTGTAATATCTTTTGTTCTCCAAGCTCGTAGACGGTCTGGCTTTCACAGTCTCCTTTGAATGGAGCATGCAGTAGGACCCTCAGGGGTGTCCCAGTTGTGCCAGGGGAGTTTTTAATTAGCTGCCCTGGAGGTGTTGGAACAGAGTTTTCAGGCACACCATAGTAGCCAGCAGCTTTCTGGCCTTCCTTTTCACAGGATTCAGGGCGCCCTGCTACTACCCCCAGTGTTCGGCCGCAGCCTTGGACTGGTAATAGACCTGGTTGTTTATATTCCGGTGATGTGCAGCAGAGACCCAGCAGGATATTTCATGAGCCAATATTCCGCCAGTTAGACAGAACTGGGGCTCGGATCCTGGATGCCTTCCTTCCAGGGCTCCCAAGCACCGGGGAGGATAGAAGATGATGATACTGGGCCAGCTGTCAGACATTTTCCCCATCAGCAGCTGAATTTCTGGGCTGCTCACGCTGTAGATCTAGGGTTATTGCCACCTTAACCCATGGCTACAGGCTGCAGTTATGATGGCGACCGTCCCTTTCTGCTTGGTGAAAATGACTTTTATTATGACCTGGTGGATGTTTACTTGATGCATGAAAGCGGCGCTCTCTCCTCTGCAGGCCTCCAGACCCAGGGTTCTGCCATACCTGGACAACTGTCTTCTCTCCCCTCCCTTCCAAATTTTTATTTTTATTTCACAACCTCATTACAAAGCAACAACGTAAGCAATCCTTCCACATTGATAATGGAAACAAATGATTCGGTCTATTCTTTGAATCATCTTTTCTCATTAGCTATCTTATATTTTCCCCTTTAGAATTTATTGTCCGAGACACACCTGCAGCTGTTTGCCTGGCACCGCGCCGTGCTGGTTGCAAGCTATGACCACTGATCTCTATGGCTATGAGCCAAATTATTGTTTAAATGTATGTATTATAAAAATGTTTACAGCATTGGAAAACATAATTAATTATTGCACACCATATTAAAACAAACAAAAAAAAATCGATTTTCATACATTTTTGTAAAATCTCCAGGGAGCCGCAAGGGGAAAGCAAAAGCGTCGCATGCGGCTCAGGAGCCACGGGATGCCGACCTCCGGTTTAGATGGACACCACCATCCCCCGTCTCTCCACCCTGTGGGCAGCCTGTCTGCCAGGATGGCGGAAACAGGTTGCAGACTCTCAATCCCACGAAGCACCTGCTCTGGGAGAGTGGTCTTTTCATTTTGACGTAGTGAGCATGATGCTGGTGAAGATTCTCAGTCATCCAGGTCATAGTCATTCCAAAGAAGTTAAAAAAACAATGCACTGCACTTTGTTTCAAACTTTGAAGATGTTTCTCTTCCCATCCAGGAAGCTTTTTTCTTTCTACATGTCAGAAATAGCATTGAGTTAAAGGCTTTATGGAGTGCACAAAAAACAAAGCCTTGTTTGGCTTGAAAACATGCAAATTGAAACAGACGAACGGGTCCACCCCTTAGTAATGGTGGCCGTTTGGGTTCTTTATTAGCCTCCAATACCCATACCTGTCTATGTCTCTGAAAGGAGGGGGGTCATTAAAGGGAATTGTTGGCCTGGCTGAATAGGCGAGGTCTTCTGTTCCCCTGTATGGGGTGGGGTTGCCACGATAGTGGGAAGGAATCAACTCAGTTGCTGCATTGTAAGTTTTTGAAATCTGAGTCAATCCCCCCTCCCCCCACCCCCATCCCCCCCCCCCTGCTGTTTAAGATTGTTTTTTCTTTTTTAACATAGATGGCTTCCTTCCCGTCCCTCTCAAACCACCTGTCTTCTTTGTCCAACATGTGAACATTCTGGTCCTCCAAACAATGTCCTTTGTCCATCAGGTGTAGATGTAGCGCAGAGTCATGTCCAGAGGAGGGCGCTCTTCTGTGTTGGGCCATGTGTCTGTGGAGAGGTTGTTTGTTTTCTCCAATATAAAGATCAGAGCATTCCCCACTGCATTGACCTGCAGACACCATTTAAGAGTCTATTTGTTGTTTGGAGAAAATCCTCTTGAGTTTTTCAGTTCAGCAACATATGGGATGGAGATGTTTTTGCGTTTAATCTTCTCACTGTTATGTTCTGCTGCGTGTCTTTTGGATTTCTTTGCTGATTTGTCTAACATCCAGTTTGGGCATCCACAGGTTTGGAGAGCTCTGTTCTTTGTGCTTCCCTTCTGTTTTAGTAGGGACATGCTCGGCCCACTGTTGGAAGGTTCTGATGACTGAAAGTTTGTGTTCTAGTGGGTGGTGTGAGTCAAAAAGATGATACTGGTTTGTGTGAGTGGATTTCCTATACATTTCATTCAGTCCAAACGGATGATCCTCTTTGGTCAGGCAGAGGTAGATTTGTTCGCCACGCAGATTTTGACCCATTGCCCCCTATGGTATTCCCTGACAGTGGTGTCGGGCACACTGGACCAGGAAGTGTTTGCCCATCCATGGCCGCGGGTTATCCTGTATGCCTTTCCAAACCTCTTGCTGATTTGGCCTGCTCTATGGAGGGTTCTAAGGAAGGCAACAGGGTGTTGCTGGTAGCTCCATTCTGGCCAGCGCTGCCGTGGTTCCCGCAGAACTCCATGGTGTCTTCCAACAAGGACGGATTAGTTGTCTCATTGGGGGGCAGATATGGCACCCCAGCCCCCAATGTCCCTGTCTGGGTGATCAGACCTTGTCAGACACGCCACATTGAGAACTAGGGTGCCTTATTTGGCAGGAATGCCCATCTCACCAGGAATTGGACTCTCTGAGGGCTGAGGTGGAGAAGCTCAAGGTCTTGCTTAAAGCTCCAGACCCCATTTCTGTTCCCAAAATGGCATCCTCCCAAAATTGTCTTCCTGACAACTGTAGGAAGAGCTTACGGACGCTACCAATGGTCCCAGGCATGCCAATTGGACTGGACTCAGAGAGGGCATTGGAGCACCGTCTGCAATTCAGCCAAGCCCCAGAAGCTTGGGGTGGTCACAGTGAGGCCATGGGACCCCCTGCTTGACAACAAAGGAGACATGATGTATGGGAACCGTATGTCAGTTTTGAATCGTTGCTTCTACACAGTTAGGGCAGCAAAGCTGGGTTTGTCACTCAAGCTTGGAGCCCCCAGGGTGGAGCAGGCTCCACCTCGTGGGACTCTAGCGGGCCGGAGAGGAGCCGGCACCCATTCAGGGGCCAGAGCAGGAGGGAGAATGCAGTCTTAGGGCTACATTTTGATGGCGGTGAGGTTTTTATAACAGCGCTTGACCTATTGGGAGACCCACTGCAGTTATGCAGAGTTAAAAATTATGGTCCAAGGGTACAGGGTAAGGGTGACTTTGTTTGCAGTTCTTGCACCGGCTACAATCCTACCAAAAGAAATGCAAGCTCTCTGGGCAATAGGGGCAGTTCCAACATTTCTGCAGGGTGAATGTCTCTACTCCACCTACTTTTTAAAATCACAAATAAGGATGGGTCCCTTCTGCAAGTGCTGGACCTAAGGGCGCAAAACCACCTTTTAAAAGGTTTTGTCTTTTTGCATGCTCCGCACAGGCAACATCCTTCATGTGATCTAAAGTTGGTATGGTATGGTATGGTATGGTATGATCTGTGCAGAGGAGTGGTTTACATAGAAGTAGACTTGAAGGATACATGCTTTGATATTCCAATCCACCCAGGATTCTTGAACCCTCTGTGCCGGTCAGGGTTAAAGATTTTGCCATTTCTAAAAGACTGGCTCATCTGTGCCCCCTCCTCTTGTGCGGCAGATCGAGTGACAGCTGCTGGTTTGCTTGTTGATCCTGACCCGTGTGGAGGCTCTGGGAATAGCAGTGAACAAACAGAGGGATTCCCTTATCCCAGCCTAGCAGGTCTTTATCAGCATGGACTTAAGTGTCCATGCTGATAAAGGTCAGTCCTTGGCCCCCACACAGCTGACCCCCATCCTCAAAGTCATCCCCATCAAAACTCACCATCTGTCTGGAGGTGATAAATTTACGGATGGAGCAAAACTTTCTTCAACTCAATAGCTCCAAAACTGAAGCCATCCTGGTTGGAACTCCTCATTAAACCAATTCATCATCCATAACCAGCATCACTTTTTCTGGTACTAACATCCCGCTCTCATCAACAGGTACTAAACTTGGTGTAAGATTGGACTCACTTTTGAAGCCCACATAAATCGTTTATGCGGGACCTCTTTCAACCACCTCCATAACATTTCCAAACTCCGTTCCATTCTCTCCCTCCCAGATGCCCGAAAAGCGGGTTCATGTCTTTGTCTCCTCCAGACTGGACTATTGCTACTCATTGGGATCCCTAAAAGAGTCTTCAGAGGCTTCAGTACATCCAGAACTCTGCAGCTAGGATCCTGATGAGAGTACAGAAACATGAGCACATTACCCCCATTCTCCATTTACTACACGGGCTTCCTATCTCCACCAGGCTTGAAAACAAGGTTTCCCTCCTCACACATCAATGCATCCATGGACATGTGACCCCACCATCACCACCACCTTAAAGAACTTATCAACCCACAGAACACAACCCGCTCTCTTCGCTCCACTCACTCAAACCTGCTCCACATTCCCAGAACCAGACTCAGGACAATGGGAGATGGAGCATTTTGTGCTGCTGCCCCACATCTGTGGAATGCCCCCGCCTGACACCTTGAGGGCACCTCAATCCACTGAGTGTTTTAAAAAAGGCCTTAAAACATTTCTTTTTAGCAAAACTTTTGGTCCCCTTTTTAATGCTTTTCTTTTATGTAGTACTTTGAGGTCTGAGGTTTTGATGAAAAGTGCAGTATAAATTAAATGTATTATTATTGTTTATTATGAATCCAGTTAGGCAAACAAACTGCCCAGTCCGGGAATTGCACCTGTTCATCATGGCTATGGATGCTATTTGCTGGTCAGAGCAGCTATTCGTGTGCCATAGTGGGCAGAACAGGGGTCAGGCCCTTTAAAAGCACAGGCTGTCGCATTAGTTTGTGGATGCCATCCCGCCGGTTTATGAATCTGTGGGGGCACCTGCCCCCTCCGGTGTAATAAGCTATTCTACCAGGAGAGTGTCTACAGTACAGCCTGGGCGGCAATGTGGGGCGCGGGGGGATATCTGTGCAGCGGCATTGTGGGGGATACCATGTATGTTTGAAAGATTATGCTGCATCAGCGTAGGACATGAGTCCACACTGGCTTTGGTGATCCTGCCTCTGGCTTCGTCTAACTCCTAGGAGGTGGGTGAGAACCTTGTTCATCAGGATGTTATTGGCATTAGTCATCCACTATGGTTCTGTGAATTCCTGGATGACTGGCAGTCACACTGGTCACTCAGGACTTCTCCCAGCAAGAAGATCCCACAGACTGAAATGTAGCCTTCTACATACTATTTATAGATGCACGCCAAGGTGAGCTACGTGTCATGTGCATGACGTTGTTTACATTTAATCTCGACCTGCACAGAGTGCCAGGAGACATATTCGCTGTTTTTACTGTCTCTGGCAGTCATTCAGGAGTTCACAGAAACAAAGTTACATTTCCAAATGAATGCCTAATCATTTGTGTTCTTGGGCATTGGTAGTTTTTCTTCTTACCTTATGATATCTGCATTTTTGATTATCTAATGTGACATAGTGAAAATCATGCCAACAGAAATTGATGTCTACTGAGTTGTAGACAACAAAGATTTAACTAATTTCTGTCTTTGATCTTTTTCTTTTGTCAGTTGAAAACCTGCTGTTTCTGAGGACCTACACACACATATAGTACTGTCATCAGCATGCATCGCAATATTAAATGGTAAATGGCCTGTACTCAATGAGTCGATGCAATCAGCTGGTTTTCCTTAGATAGAAAACTTTGTATCAATTTGACTGGATGATCTGGTTGAACTGTAAAGTGCCTTGAGATGACATGTGTTGTGAATTTGGCGCTATATAAATAAACTGAATTGAATTGAAATTGAATTACTCATATAGCACTTTACATTCACCCATTCACTCACGCACTGATGGGGGTAAGCTACTTGTAGCTGGGGCTCACTGACAGAAGCGGGGCTGCTGTACACTGGCACCATCAGTCCCTCCGACCACCATCAGTAGTTGGGTGAACTGACAACCACCCGGTTGCAGGGCAAACTCCTACATCATACGCTACTGTCACCATGAAGAGCTGGACATACTGAAGGAAGGTCATTAACATACCTCCAAAACAGGACTTTGGTTAACGTGGACCTGTGGCAGACCAATGGACAGAGGGAGAGGCGCCTACTGGTTTTAGAAATGTAGATAGGTTGTAAAAGATTTGGGTGCTTCAATGTTGTTTACATTATTTGAAAGATTAAGAGATGAGTTAGCCAGTGGGATTTGGTGATTTGCTGCATCAATAGCCTTGTTAAGGTCATGAAAGACTGTGGACCTGCAATGTTATTGTCAAGATAAATAGAAAGTGGTTGACTGAGAATTACCAGAGCAAGGTTAGATAAAGGATGCTGAATAATTCCAGTGTTTCTTTTAATTTAAATCTTCAACCTACGCTTCTTATGTTGGAGAGAAGGAAATTAAAAGGTCAGATCTATGCTTCGAAAGAATGAGGCCATAATGAGGTAAAGAAGTGGGAAGTTATCTGAATTAACTTACTTACTGTAAATCTGATCTGAAGCTAAATTCAGATAGCAAACCCCCCACTCAGCCTTTCAGGTTCAAATTTGGCTCAAACAGGTGGAAGCAAACACAATGATATCTGGGATGCCATAGACCTTTCTCAAGTAGAACAGTCTTCAGCAAACTCTTGGATGGAAATTTTATCAGAAAGTGTGAAGGCTCTGGTTATCACTCATGCTTGTAAACGTATGTTTCTATAGACTGACTCTTTTTGAGCTGTAGCCCTTCGTTGTAGGGAAGTCATATTTAAATGTCAGACCATTCTGGCTAAAACATGTATATAAATAGAATCTTTATCAGACGATATTGTCCCAAAATGTAGAAAATGTATATTTAAAAAGAAATCCTGCCTTAAAATCTGTGTTTTTTTTCTCCATTATCTCATAGAGGCCAGTTCCTTGACAGCGTCGTTTCTAAGTCACCAACTTAGTGCTACTTGGTCCCAATGGAATTTCCCATTGGGACCAAGTAGCACTAAGTTGCTAACTGGTTAGTAAGATGCTTCCAATAAACCGGCTACAACCAAACTGCTAGCGAACCTTCCGCCACAACTATCCCGCCCCCTTGATAATCGACCAATCACATTCACTTTATTCACTCGTGTAAAGTCGGGCACCAGTGGGAGAATTCGGAAATGCAACGGTTGGAGCGGCCCCTTCCCTACAAGTTTAAAGGTGTCACAGTTATTCTGTTGGCTAAGCCTTTGTTCAGCAGTGTTCCTCATTATTCTGTTGGCTGTACTGACAGTAATCTATTACATAACATAATTTTATCCTCATTTCATGTATGACTGCATGGAAGAACATCATCAAGGTGATCAGGTGGGGAAATAATGGTGGTCTGTGCAGAGCAGTCTGCTCCTTCTAGTCTCCACCTTGACCTCTATAACAAACAGATTTTGTTCAAAAAGTAAAATGTTTTGTTTTTCCTGTGTTTAGATGTATTTGGTGAGTGTTACCAAAGCAGCGAGAGTCGCACCTTCACACTCCTTATAAGGAAGTCTCCTGTGTGGGGCGGGGCAACATGCCTACAGATGGCTACTGCAGCAGATGCCCGCCTTTTCTTCAGCCATGATGGTGTTCAGGTAAAAAGATACGCACTGCTAAGAATCTGGGTTCTACCGTATTTTCCAGGTTGTGGAAAATGGTTCTCTCTGTGGTTCTCTAGATTCCAAAGCCTAGATTGAAGTTAGAGCACCAGGATGTGGACAGTATGGAGGAATCAGTTCCTTCTTCATTACTAACACTGTTTAGAAATCTCTCTCTGAGAAATGCAAATGATGACATTAAATGGAAGATGTCCCTGAGGTGTTTTCTCTTCTATTCCAACATTTTTTTTCACATACAGTGCATTATTTGTAGTTTTCTTTCATCCTTATAGAGATCCAGTGTTTAACATCTTAACCTATGATAATCAACCTTTGGGCCGACATACACTGTACAATATTTTCATTAGTTTTTAGCTACAGCTCAAACTGTTTCCAAACTGCAGGGTTTAAAAGCTCACAGCTCAGGATATTTGTTATTCCGCTTCACGGCCCGATGCTCTGATGTGATCTGACTGCTCACACCGCATGAGCCACACACTGGACAGCTCCATCCGGTGGTAAAGAAAAGCTCTGCTTCAACAGCAGGATAGGATCATGATCTCCTTACGAGGGCCGACTGATAGTATGTTCAGATTTGGCAGCTGTTTCCTACTATTACTGGATCTTTCTAAGGCCATGAAAACAAGGAGCCTGGAAGAGTTCAAATTCAAACAGGTCAATCCTTCCCTGACTGTCAGCACCCCTAACTCATTGGATGCACTGTCGCCCAGCAACCATGGCAGTTGGTCCACAAAGAATAGAAATCAAACTTCTACTGTTCTGGGTGCTAATAGCTTGACCTTTAATAACCTCAGAAACTAGGACCCAATATTCAGAAAGACAGACCAGGAGGATTTTAAACAGACTTTATTTTGACAAAAGGGCATCAGCGGAGCGGATAATCGGATCCTTTGCAGGGATGGAAAAAACAAATCAATAACGTGTCTATTTTACATGAACTCTGGAGATGGTTCGCAGCCACAGGGCTTAATACTTATCCTTTGTGTCCCTATAGTCTTTACAGTCAAACATATGTATGTTATCCATTTCTCTTTCTTCTTCAAATGGTGTGATTGCAATAGTTTCTGATATCTGACGTTAGAACTCCTTTGCTGCGGGTCCAAAGTTTTCTTTGCTGTCCCTATTTTGGATTTAAGGTCAGCTGTAAACCAGGTATATTTTTTCAAAAATAGGCAGTGACTGTCATCAGTGTCTTCTGCTTCATTTCCTTCTGTATCTGAATCTGTAGAGATACCAGGGTTGGCATCCGTCCCAGTAAACATCTGCTCCTGAAAATAACTGTAAAAAGCACGGTTTAGATCTCTGATGGTAACTTCAGCTTGGTTCCTAGGGAAAAAATTTGAAATTATAATTCATACATCTAATTGCTTATATCTCTTTAGGTTATCTTTGTCTGATATTAAAAATTAGTTGATCTAAAACAGGTTGGAAAAAAATAGAAGTAATCTGTAAGAAAGGAAATAAACTTTGAGAGCAAGCCAGTCCAAGTCCTTAGAGCTAGTTCGCTGTCGGTGGTTCTTAGACTGATCTACACTCACCGGCCACTTTATTAGGTACCCCATGCTAGTAACGGGTTGGACCCCCTTTTGCCTTCAGAACTGCCTCCATTCTTGGTGGCATAGATTCAACAAGGTGCTGGAAGCATTCCTCAGGGAGTTTGGTCCATATTGACATGATGGCATCACACAGTTGCCGCAGATTTGTCGGCTGCACATCCATGATGCGAATCTCCCGTTCCACCACATCCCAAAGATGCTCTATTGGATTGAGATCTGGTGACTGTGGAGGCCATTTGAGTACAGTGAACTCATTGTCATGTTCAAGAAACCAGTCTGAGATGATTCCAGCTTTATGACATGGCGCATTATCCTGCTGAAAGTAGCCATCAGAAGTTGGGTACATTGTGGTCATAAAGGGATGGACATGGTCAGCAACAATACTCAGGTAGGCTGTGGCGTTGCAACGATGCTCATTTGGTACCAAGGGGCCCAAAGAGTGCCAAGAAAATATTCCCCACACCATGACACCACCACCACCAGCCTGAACCGTTGATACAAGGCAGGATGGATCCATGCTTTCATGTTGTAGACGCCAAATTCTGACCCTACCATCCGAATGTCGCAGCAGAAATCGAGACTCATCAGACCAGGCAACGTTTTTCCAATCTTCTATTGTCCAATTTCCATGAGCTTGTGCAAATTGTAGCCTCAGTTTCCTGTTCTTAGCTGAAAGGAGTGGCACCCGGTGTGGTCTTCTGCTGCTGTAGCCCATCTGCCTCAAAGTTCCACGTACTGTGCGTTCAGAGATGCTCTTCTGCCCACCTTGGTTGTAACGGGTGGTTATTTGAGTCACTGTTGCCCTTCTATCAGCTCCAACCAGTCTGGCCATTCTCCTCTGACCTCTGGCATCAACAAGGCATTTCCGCCCACAGAACTGCCGCTCACTGGATGTTTTTTCTTTTTCGGACCATTCTCTGTAAACCCTAGAGATGGTTGTGCGTGAAAATCCCAGTAGATCAGCAGTTTCTGAAATACTCAGACCAGCCCTTCTGGCACCAACAATCATGCCACGTTCAAAGTCACTCAAATCACCTTTCTTCCCCATACTGATGCTCGCCTTGAACTGCAGGAGATTGTCTTGACCATGTCTACATGCCTAAATGCACTGAGTTGTCGCCATGTGATTGGCTGCTTAGAAATTAAGTGTTAACGAGCAGTTGGACAGGTGTATCTAATAAAGTGGCCGGTGAGTGTATGCTGCATAATCTTTCTTAAAAGGCAGAATTTTGCCCAAAGTCTATCAGTCACCTGTCTTTGATATCAGTTTAACCTTCTTCTGCCTTTTGTGCTGCAGTCTCTGCTGTCTCAGATCTGGTGGGGCGACTTGGAGAGGAGCACTGATGTCTGGAAGCTGATTCTTGCCTTCTTTGTACCTCCTTTGATCTACACCAACCTCATCGACTTCAGGTCAGTCATCTGTTATTGTTCTAGAAAACTGCAACTTTATCTTACCTTTATCTTAGGGCAGGGGTGGTGTCGGCCCCGTGGGGCTGGTACGGCAGCCTCTCTTCTTTCAGCGGTCCCCAGGGTAGCTGTGGCTCTGATGAAGCTCGCCACCATCAGTGTTTACGTGATTTAGTGGGTGAAAGAGGGTGTGTAGCATAAAGCACTGTGATCATATCTCCTCATATCAGTACAGGCCATTAGTTTGTGCTTGGATTGACATGTGAACCTATTTTATGTTCTTTCTGACTGGTATGTTATGGTTAGAGGAGAGTTCAGGAGCAGTTAAATGAATCTGTGTTTAACAGAGTACATTTTAACAAAGCGTCAGAAGGCCACTAAAATAGGTGCATGAAGCAGCTGCTGTTTTTACATCCTACCTGCTGCTTCGAGCTTCTAACCCGCCCCCTTTTTTACCCGGTACACACCTCGAAGCCTGGCTTCAGATGTCCCACCACTAATTCTGACCTAATTCTACCTCCTGACTCTCTGGGCCTGCTTGAACCCTATCGGATCTGACTTTGTGAGTTTATTGGATCTCTGACCTGTTCTCTGTGCCCTGGCCATGCTCTCGGATTCTCCCCTGAAGTATCTTTGGATCTCTGATCTCCTGGTTGTGACTCTGGACCTAGTGTCGGACCTCGAAAACTCTGGTTTGCCCTTTTAATTGATCTGCCTGTCTCTGATCTCAGAGATCAGTTTATGGCCCTTAAGCTCTGAGATCGGCCTAGTCCTTGTAAGTCTGCGAAAGCTCAAACCGCCTGCCCTCATCGTCCCTTTTATTACATTCTTGGAGGATTTCTGGAACCAACCATCCTTTTCTCATTTGCATCAAAGTTTAGTGTATTTCTCCTTTCGTTCATATCAAGACTCAGAAGTATCACACCCACTAAGTCCTCCTGTTTCTGTTCCTGTTTCTGCTGGTGATCTGTCCCCTGGGTGTTTGAACCTCTTTAGTCCGGATGTATTCAGGTCGCAGTCTTCCCTGGACGTGTTGCTTTGAATCCCATGCTGGATCTTTCAACATGGCTGCGCCTGTCAATTCCACGAAATATGCCGCTTAGAACGCTACAACCTGGGCATTGATCCTGCATCTACGACCGCCAGTATCTGCTGGAGCTTCGATCTCAAGATGCCGTTTCTGGACTCTCAAATACAGCCACTCTTGACCGTCTAAAAAGCTCTGTGTGCTTTGGATGGATGTAAACAATGAAGTGTGCCAAAGGTCCAGGCTGTGCCAGGGTGAGAGCCTGAGATGGGCGAGATGGCGAAAGAGAGGCTGTAGAGGCGGGGCAACGGCGAAATCCCCCACAGACCACCGGTTCATTCTATCCTGCTTTCTAACATCCGCTCACTGGACAACAAAATGGATAATGTCCAACTCAAACTCTCTTCAAAAAGGGAGTTTAGTAACTGCTGCGCCATCATCCTGACTGAATCATGGCTTCATTCATCGATATCAGACAACATGGTTAGCCTGGAGGGACTACAGCACTGATAGAAACAGCAAGCTCAGCGATAAGACTAGAGGAGGGGGGACTCAGTGTTTACATCAACAACAGCTGGTGTGAAAACGCAGATCGCTTCTGCTCTCCAGACATCGAGTATCTGACTGTTAACTGCAGGCCGTTCAATCTGCCCAGAGAGTTCAGTGTGGTTAGCATCACTGCTGTTTATGCCCCCCCCCAGCACTAACACTAAAGAGGCCATGAAGACTCTATACCAGGCTATCTCTGAGCTCCAATCTGCACACAGAGGCAGTTTCCATCATTGCTGGGGATTTTAACCAGGCTGACCCTAAGACTGTTCTCCCTCATTTCTACCAACATGTGGACTTTGCAACTCAGGGTGAAAACATTTTAGACCTGGTTTACTATAACATCAAAGATGCATTCAGAGCAGCCCCCCAATCAACCCCCCCCCACCCCCACCCCCACCTCGGGTCGTCAGATCACCTATCTGTCATACTTATCCCTACATATAAGCCCCAGCTGATCAGGGCTAAACCGACAGTTAAAGAGGTCAGAGTGTGGTCTGAGGGCGCCATGGAAACACTCCAGGACTGTTCTGAATAACATAAATATTGATGAGTATGCCATGACTGTGTCAGCCTACATCAATAAATGCATTGAGGATGTCAGCATAACAAAGAACATCACCACCCAGGCCAACCGACCAACCTGGATAAATGGAGATGTTCGGAAATCGCTAAAAGAACCGAACTCAGCTTTCAAGTCAGATGACAGAGAGGCTCTGAGGACAATGAGAGCCAACTGCATCCTTGCCATCAGATTAGGGAAGAAAAACCACAGCCAGAAGATCCAGGACCCCTTCCATGATGCCAGCAACACCAGGAGGATATGGAAAGTCATTCGGATGCTCACAGACTGCAACCTAACCTGGAGTTTAATGTAGACGGTTCTATCTGCCACGGGAGTTCACTTCAACCATTATTACTGCAGCCTACATTCCCCCGGGCGCTGATACTAATACCCCATTTACACTACCCTTGAAAAACCGTGCCGAGACCGGTCCAAGCTCAGTAACTGAGATAACATATCGTGTGTAAATGGAAAGCAAACTGAACTGAACCGAGCTAGACACAACGAGAATCGAGATAACTGCAGACCAGTTCCAGAGGTGGGCTCGGCTCAGTTTTTCCCTGGCTCGGTTCTCTGAGAACAAGAGCGCATGAGAAGAATGCGTCATCTCCGTCTGGCTGCACATCCATTCCAGTAGTTGGCGTTAATGCCCCTCCGGAAGTTGCTTGCCGACCAACACAAAACAGAAGAAGAACAATAACAATCGAAATCTTCTCCACGCAACATTTTAAATAATAACAATAATAATCAGGCATAACTTTCTGATGTGACCGGCGCCGCCATTTTGATTTGCTTGATTCCTTACTTCTTCGTCTTCTTCTTCTTGTGTTTTATGGCGGTTGGCAAACAACTTTTGGTGCATTACCGCCACAAACTGCTTGATTTCCTCCTTCAATACTGGCAGTAATACCACAGATCGTCACTAGGAGGCGAGGAGTCGAGGAACCGAGATAGCGTGATGTGTAAACGGTGGTCAGAACCAAGCTTGGCCTGGTTACCGGCCTCGGCATGGATCGGGTTTTCAAGGGTAGTGTAAATGGGGTATAAGTCTGCGATGAAAGAACTTAACGCAGCAATCAGTAAACAACAGGCCATTCACCCAGAAGCTGCGTTTATTGTCGCAGGCGATTTTAATCATTCAAATTTAAAGTCAGTGCTACCAAAATTTCCCCAACATGTTCTCTGCCACACCAGAGGAAACAAAACTTTAGATCACGTTTACACAAACGTGGCTGGAGCCTACATTGCGACACCCCTCCCCCACCTGGGACAGTCAGATCACCTTTCTTTGTTCCTCACCCCCAAATATGCACCTCTCATCAATCGTGTGAAGCCATCAGTGAAGACCATCAAGCTGTGGCCTGCGGGAGCAGATTCAACACTTCAGGTATTGTTGCTGCACACAGACTGGAGTATGTTTGCTTGTCAAGCCACCAGTGGCTCTCACACGGACATTGACTGTTACGCCTCCTCTGTACTGGATTATATTATTACCAGTATTGAAAATGTTACAACCCAGAAGCAGATCATCACATACCCAAATCAGAAGCCATGGATAAACAGGAAGGTGCGACTCCTATTGAAGACACGCAACACTGCCTTCAGATCAGGAGATGCACCAGCCTGTAGCACAGCCAGAGGAAACCTGGAAAGGGGCATCAAAGAGGCCAAGCACTGCCACAAGCTTAAGATAGAGGGACACTTTTCCAACACTGACCCCCGATGCAGGTGGCAGGGAATTAATGCCATCATTGACTACAAACCCACTCATCCCACCTCTGCAGCATCTGATGTCGACTTCCTGAGCAAGCTGAATTACTTTTATGCTCACTTTGAAAGAGACAACAGTGAAACTGAAATCCTCAGCCGACCACCAGCCAATCAAACACTCACACAGATGTCTGCAATGCACTGAGCAGGATCAGCACACATAAGGCAGCTGGACCTGATAACATCCCTGGACTTGTACTCAGGGCATGTGCGGAGCAACTCATTGGGGTTTTACAGACATTTCCAACCTGTCTCTTGCCCAAGCAGCTCTACCAACATGCTTCAAATGCACTTCCATTGTGCCGGTGCCAAAACAATCCAGCCCAAGGTGCCTTAACAACTACTGCCCTGTAGCACTCACACCAATCATTATGAAGTGCTTTGAGTGGCTGGTCCTGGCACACCTGAAAGACTTGGTACCATCCATATTAGACTCACACCAGTTTGCATACCACGGCGATAGGAGCACAGAGGACGCAGTTTCCAAGGCACTGCACTCTGTGCTCACACATCTGGACAATAAGAACACCTATGCACGCATGCCGTTTGTCGACTTTAGCTCAGCATTCAATACTCTCATTCCGGCGAAGTTATTAGCCAAACTTCGAGACCTGGGCATCAACACCTCCATGTGCAACTGGATTCTGGACTTTCTGACCAACAGACCCCAGAATGTCCAATTAGGCTCCAATTGCTCTACGTCTATTACACTCAACACTGGCGTACCACAGGACTGTGTGCTACGCCTGTTTCCCCTCTCCCTCTTCACCCGCGACTGCAAGCCTGTGTACGCATCTAATTCCATCATCAAGTTTGAGGACGACACCACGGTGATCGGTCTCATCAGCAACAACGATGAGACTGCCTATAGGGAGGAGATCGAGCACTTGGCCACATGGTGCACTGAAAATAACCAGCTCCTCAACACCACCAAAACGAAGGAGCTCATCATGGACTTCTGAAAAGATTCAACAGGCACCAACGATACCATCCACATCAATGGAATGGCTGTTGAACGTGTCTCCAGTTTCAAGTTTCTGGGGACCCACATCTCAACGGACAAGTCCTGATCAACCAACACCTCCTGCCTGGTCAAGAAGGCTCACCAGCGCCTCTTCTTCCTGAGGACACTGATCGCTGTACAATAGAAAGAGTCCTGACCAACTGTGTAACAGTGTGGTATGGAATCTGTTCTGTACCCTCCTTCCTCACACCTACCACCATGTTGCTATTCTGTTTTTTTTATAAGACTGTAATGTTCACCTGCACTCCTGACTGTTACTATAGTAACAACTCTTTAAATGCATCGTGCACTACTCACCTTGACTGTTTATTCACAGCACCAATTGTTTACATATACATTTGCAATAACGTACTTTAACTGTAATATGCAATTACCTTCCACTGCACTTTAATTCAGATAGCCTCTGTCCAAACTTTATTTATTCATTTTATAGTAAAACCCATCTATATATATGCTACTGTACATAACTGTAAAAACCCTTTTTATAGTAATATCCACCTGTATATTATATTCAGTAATCATCCAGCTGTAAATTTAGTTCAATACACTAGTTATCTATATATCATATTCCTCTATTAGTAAGACTCTGTTTATAAAGGTATTCATCTCCATACTTATCCAGTAGAACCATGTCCTGTATTTATGGAACCATTATTTATCCTGCACTGCTGCTATTGCACTTCTGGTTAGACCTAAACTGCATTTCACTGCCTTGTACCTGTACCTGTGTAATGACTGTGATGTTTATGGTGTTCACATGCTCTACGACCTCCCCCTCTGTATGAAGAGGAGGTGTTCAGTCTTCCTGGACCTCCTGAAGTCACCATGACCCCCTGGTGTTCAGTCAGAGATTGTTTGTTAAGAACCACCATATCAAATGGTGGATCTTCTCTGGGATGGGTCTCGTCATTGTTAGATATGAGACCTACCACAGGCAGGTAGTAGAGCAGTCATGTTAAGAGGCTAAAGAGGACAAGGCTGTGATGTGCCAGAGCTGATGGCACATCACAGCCACACCTGGGCCCTGTTGGTGAGGAAGCTCCTAATCTGTTATCAGGCAGAACTGGGTCCTGGTTTAACTTCTATCAGCACCTCAGTCATGATCCATTCGTTTGCTAGCTTTGTCATTTTGGGGTTTCCTCACAAGGAATATCATTTCAGTTCTGCTGATTGATTTAAAAGATCAAGAGATGTTTTGTTTTTGTTCAGGGAACCAGAGGAGGAGATAAATCCTTTGGCAGTCCAGCATATCAGAGAAAGTGACAGCATTGAGGGGAACGATGCCACCGTCCTCTCCCTCGCAGACATCGTTCATAAGTATTATCAAATATTTCATTAATCAAATTATCCCATTTATTGTCTTTGTTCCTATTTTAACAATACTCCACCCCCTGCTTGTTGTTACAAACAGTGAAGAAGAGTTGGAAGAACTGAAGACTTTGAAAGAAAACTTGAAAGGTATGTTTGGATGTTCTCTCTGGTGGAATGTAAACTGGTTCCAGGAAGTGTGGCTGCTGGTTTTTCTTCCAACCAGCTCACCAGAATCCAGTTATCCCATCAAGTGAGTTTTGTATTAACTTGATGACTTGATGATTGACTGGAGTCTGGTGCGCTATTGCTTGGTTGGAAAGAAAACCAGTAGCCTCACAGCCCTTTCTGGGACCAGTTTGACACTTGTGTTAGAGTGAAAAGAATATCAAAGGCCCTTTTCTGAACACCATCAGATGAAATGTGAATATAGTGTCTTACCCAAGGACCCAATGACTGATGCAGGATGAACTCCTGTAAACGACGCTGCTGTTGCCCAGCTATCATTCAGCCATTCACCTGTTTCTACCTGTTGTGTAATAGCCATATATTAAAGGCCCATCCCATATGTTGAATGGAGCCTTGGGCAGAAGTTCAACTGAAGAAACTGATTGCTGTCTTACATCCACCTGCGACACAACCAATCAGCTTTAAACCACACCTCCACCAAAGCTAATCGGCATCCAAAGCTCATCTTAAAAGGCCTCTGATCCGCACTTGGTGCGCTAGATGTGCTGTGACTCCACTCCACCTGGCCTGGGGGGAAACAGCCCTGTTCTTTACTCTGTTCATTCATATCTATCAAAATTGAGCGCTTTGGTTCCTGCCGTGGTCTGAGCGCCAAAGACAAAGTAATTGTATCAATATTTTTGTCATAATTGTCTTTCCTCTCTGTGTGAGTTTTTCAGATTGAAATGTGCATTTAAAAATATTTCATCAGATAAAATTGGACTGTCATAAATTTTTCTGTGAACACACGCCGACTGGCTAACTGTTAGAACAACAGATGAAAGTGTGAATTAAGCTTAAACTTTGCAAATAGTAGAGGTTAAGAATGTCTGAGCAACAGTAGCAGTGGATGCATTAGATTGTCCTGCACCAAAGGGTTGTCTGTTCAAGTCCCAACTTCAGCCTTCTGGCAAACAGTGTTGTTTCTAGCAGCTATCTTAGATTTAGTCTGATTTATTCTTTAGAGTTAGATGATTATTTTTAGTCACAGTTTAGTCATTACTATATGTGATAGTTTTACTCTGTTTTATGTTGCTCTTCAAAAAACAGTGAACCTTTATAATTTGGAATAACAACCAGATTCTTTCCCAGACTGGCAGCTCTATCCTAGAGCTGGGTATAGAATGCTGCGGTGCAATTCATCATTGCTGTTGGACAGAGAAATATGGTTTATAGAATTCAAATAAACTTTTGTAATACCCTACCTTATAAAAAGTGTCTATGAAAATAGCAGATCTAGTTCAACACATCCTATTGGTTAATCTAGCAGACAGACAAGCTAACAAAATGTCCAATAAAGGAATGATTTTATCATCCAACATTTCCATCCCAAAGCAAACACTTCCTGATCTACTATGAATTCTGCATTAAACACAGATCTATAAAATCTGCATTAGTCCAAATAAGCAAAGAACAAAAACATTCTTCTTTCTACTTTGGTGATTTTAGCGTTATTTCTGAGAATTAACCCCTCGCTTCCTGCTGCTAAGGGGTCACAGTAGATTTAAATTCACAAGCTTTGATATAAAAAAAAATACAGAGACAACTTTCATAATTGCCTTGTAATGCCACGGCAACCCAGACCGAAATTTAATATATTGCTTATATAGATAATAAAGGTGGTTTTGAAATATTTAAATAGATTGAAACAAGAACAATGAGGGAGAAATATTCAAATTAAATGAAGTTTATAAAATGCAACGATGTAAAATGTACTTGAAATAAGACAATGCAATACACTATTTAAAAATAAATACAGAAATAATTAAATGCTCCAAAAATAAATAAACATACAATTTAATGCCCCCAAAAAATACAATAAACAAATAAATGTAGATAGAAATTAAATTATAGAGTGGGACATAAATGTATAAATCTCTTTTAATTAGCTTCTTTGTTTTTTCACCTTTGTTTTAATTACCTTATTTATTGCCCATTATAATCTTCAATTTTATTTATTACTTATTTCTTTAAGTATTTATTTTTGTGCATGTTATAATATTTGTTTCTGGTTTATTATTCCTTTGTATTTTTTTATTATTATTTCTTCCATGCTATTTATTCTGCCGGTTGTATTTACATTTCTGTCGGCATCTCTATAGAGTCAGTGAAAATTATTACCCAAATATGTTTTACAAACAGACGGTGGGGGAAATAGGTATTTGACTCCTTGCTGATTCTGCAGGTTTGCCCACTTACAAAGAATGCTACGATCTATAATTTTAATCATCTGTACATTCTAACAGCGAGACAGAATCCCAAAGAAAATTCCAGAAAATCACATCATATGAATTTATAAAAATTGAAACCATCTGATGAGGAAAAACAAGGATCCCTGGGGCCCAGGACCGGATTCACATCAGGCTGGCCGGCTGCCGGCGGGGCCCGCGGACTTGTCCCCGCGGCTCCCCGGGGCGCCGGCATGGCGGAGGCTGGGGGGCTTCCTCTGGGCTGTCTCTCCCTCCCTTGGTGGGGGTCTGATTTCCTGGGCTGGCCCCTCCTTGGTGCCTTCGCTCTTGGGGTCCCTTTGGGCGCTTGGGGCTTTGGGTCTCCCGGCGCTGGACTCAGTGCTCTGGGGGGGGCGGCTCTTCGGCTCTCCACAACCACTGTTGAGCATTTTCTCCATGGATAAACTTTACATGCACAAGTTCGCCCTCACAAACAACTACAGGTGCTTGGTTAAATATAAAAAGAAAATAAATAAATAAAACCTCTGTTGTGGCTCAAGGTAGAATAAAAGCTTAAGCCTCATCTGTTTTGCTTTCTTAGAAACATATGGCAGAGCAGACGGCCTGCTTATTTAAGCACACTGTGAGAGATCAGCAGTTATTCCACTAAACAAGCCTCTCTTGGTCATTTCTTCTTCAAAGCCAGAGACTGATCCAGAACTCTTCTGAAGGTGTTGATGTTGAATAAGTCTTCCTTTGTTGTCCCCTCTAATCAGGTCCGGTGCAGAATAACTCCAGGAGACCGTTTATTGTGTCAAGGTGGAGACAGTTCTGGTACGCGCCTGTCACCTCCTTCCTGGGCAATGTGCTGATGTACTTCCTGTTCCTTTGCCTGTTCGCCTATGTTCTGCTGGTGGACTTCAAGCCTCCGCCCCCAGAGGGCCCGTCTTCTCTGGAGTTTGTGCTCTACTTCTGGGTTTTCACATTAGTATGTGAAGAGATCCGACAGGTTGGTTGTTTTCAAACTAGTATTTCTTCATCAGAGGTGGGAAACTCCAGCCATGGAGGAGTACAATCCTGCAACTTCTAGATGTGTCCCTATTTCCAACCACCAACCAAGTCAGAATCCTTTAAATCATTGATCCAGGTGTGCTGCAGGATACCGGCCCTTTTAGGGACCGGAGTTGCCCACCCCAGTTCTACAATGACACATGCAGGTTTTATTAAATACCTTTCTGTAAAATCCAGATATTGACGCTTTCATTTTAACTTTGCACCATTTTCACACTTTACAAACAACAGACATCATTGCATTAATAAACAATCAGTATCATAAAGACCCCCCCAAAAAAACTGACAGACCAGGGAGCTCTAGTTCAGTTTAAAGGAGGGTTAGATTTTTGTCTTAAATCAGAAAAGAAGCCATTTGTCAGGCCACTGCAGATATACTAGCATCCGTTAGCATCTGAGCTCCTTCTGACCTCCTTCTGCTCTTTCTATTGGTTCAGAATCCTTTTCTGTCAACGTTGGCATGGTAACAACAACTTAATATTGATATATTTAATCCCAACCCTAAATTTTAGATGCATCTCTTCTATAACACACCTGAATCTATAGGCTCCGCCCCCTTACTGAGCTCAGCAGGTGGATGCTAATGATCCACCCATTTGATTCAGCTGTGATAAAATGGGGTGCATCAAAAAGCTGCAGGGTAGAAGCTCTGGAGGAGGTGAGCACCGCTGCTCTAGACGTTCTGTTAAATTTGAATTATTCATGTTTTGAAGTTGCAGCTCTGACCCTTAACATGGGTCTGACATGGGAGCTGCCTTGGAGCTCGTCTGCCTGGATGTGTGATTTCCAGGACGGGGCCGCCTTTTACAGCTGCTTTTTGTATCTTCTTCTGCTTCTGTCTGCTTGAACCCCAGTGGGCCTCAGCAGATGGCCGCTCACACTGAGCCTGGTTCTGCTGGAGGTTTCTTCCTGTTCAAAGGGAGTTTTTCCTCTCCACTGTCGCTACAAGCATGCTTAGTGTGAGGGATTGCTGAAGAGTCAATGAGTCGATGCAATCAGCTGGTTTTCCTTAGATAGAAAACTTTGAATCAATCTGACTGGATGATCTGGTGAACTGGATCTATAAAGTGACCTGAGATGACATGATGTGAATTGGTGGTATAGAAATAAACTGAACAGAATTGAACATATTCTATCGAAACTTTAAACAATCACAGCTCTGTCTTCTGTTCACAGACTTTTTTTGGAGGCAGTTTGTTTTTACTCCAAAGGATGAAGAAATACATCCAGGATAACTGGAACAAGTGTGACCTCACAGCTATTCTTCTTTTTATTTTGGCTCTACTGTGCAGGTGATTGTCTTTGATTCATCTTTTTTCTAATATAATCCTTTAGAATCTGAATAGTTCTATAGTTATAATGTAACTCCATTCATTTATGGTTGCAAAGTTTCTACTGCTTCCCTCATTCATTTATCTAAACTATTAGTGAGTGATATTGCTGCTAAAGAGATGCTGCAAATCAAACTATAAAGCCGTTTATTTAAGTTTTATGTCAGTTTCAGGTTGTTAAGTTACCATCAGGGACTGGAACCACTATGGGTGGTTTAGAGGTTAGGGAGCAAATCATTTGCTTTTCTGGAGCAAATATAGTTTCTGACCCTTAAACAAAACAGGTAAAATTGTTGATGATAAATTTGCCCACTAATGGAAGATAGGCTCTAAATTAAAAATATATGTATTTTTAGCTAAGAGGTTCATGATTTGTTGTTCTTCTCTAAGTCGCTACTTTTATTTTAAATTACAATAACATAGAATTAAAATTTCTACAAACTGAAATCATTAAGTTAAAGTACTGAAGTTAAAAATACTGCTGCCATTTATTTTATGTTTTGCTCTCTCTCACTTTGTTGAAGCTTTAATGTGAATAAATAAATTAAAATACAGGGAAGAGACGTGTCCTAAACTGGAACCTTCAGAGTCTTACTGGTTGTAATGGTTTGTGCTTTTGAGTCCTGGTATTGTTGTTATTTTCTTTAGGTTCACTTTAAACTTTCTGGAAGACTTTAAGTTACTTGACTCTGAATTGATGCAGTTTGTACCCAACTGGGAAGAACTGGCCATCTTATGGACTTTGTTCCAAACTGTCCAAATTATTAGATATCATCAACTTTTGTTGGTCTTCCAGGTGAGTGCAATACCTTCAAAATGTGAGCAGTAACTGATTGCTTTTTGTTTCAGAATATTTCCCTGGTCATTTAATTTTGGCCGTGCTGTGATGGCCATTGACTACATGGTTTTTGCCCTGCGTCTAATCCACATCTTTGCCATCCACAAACAGCTTGGACCCAAAATCATCATTCTTGGAAAAATGGTAACAGAACTGATCAAAAACAACTGGTATAAAACACAGTTTAACTGGAGACATGAATAGTATTAGAGTTGAAAAAAGGTGCCAGGGTTTAGAGCAGTCAATCAGAATGCCTGATCTTTCTGAAGAACTCTGAACGATAGGGATCGTTTTAAAAATCCGAGCTGCTGGCGAATCTCCGGACTGAAGAGTTGTCTGTAGCAAGGCAGTAACTGTCAGGCATGGTGGGGAAGGAGTAATGGTGTGGGCATCTTTTGCGATAATTTGTAATAATCGCATTGATTTATGTTGCCTTACAGAAACCTGGCTGCAGCAAGAGGATTATGTGAGCATAAATGAGGCAACTCCTTCAAGCTATTTAAATTTTCACATCCCCAGAAGTTCTGGGCGAGGAGGAGGAGTAGCAACAATCTTTCAGTCAGACTTACTGATTACTCCCAAAACAGTTAATACCTACAACTCTTTTGAACATTTAACCCTTAATTTCCCTGATCCAAATTTCAAGGCAAGAAAACCTCTTCTTTTTGTAACTTTGTATCGTCCACCAGGTCCTTACTCTGAATTTTTAGATGAGTTTTCAGAGTTCCTTTCTGATTTGGTATTAAATACTGACAGGGTCATCATAGTGGGAGATTTTAACATCCATGCTGACATTGAAGGCGATAGCTTAAGAGCAGCCTTTAATGCTATCTTAGACACTGTTGGCTTTGTTCAAAATGTGAATAGTCCCACACATTCTCATCTTCATACTTTGGATCTTTTGCTGACATACGGCATAGAATGTGAAGAAATAACAGTATTTCCTCACAACCCCGTCCTCTCTGACCACTTTCTAATAACCTTTAGGATTACTTTAACAGAGTTCTCCTCCCCCAAAAGAAAGTTCAATTTTAGTAGATCTTTATCAGATAGTGCAGTTATACATTTTAAAGAATCTTTAATAAGGAGCTGCGCACTCTCGAGCAAAATGCTAGCAAAATGGAGAGAAAAGGGTGTTATACATGCCTACGGGAATCCTACCTAATCTGGAAAAATAGTTTACTGCTTTATAAGAGGACCCTCATTAATAGGGGAAAAGAAGAAGAATCCTAGGTATCCTTTTAACCCAGTTGCCAAACTCACCCAGAGCCATAGCTCTGTTGAATCGCCCATTCCACCTGCTCTTAGCAGGAATGATTCTTTATAAATAAGATTGATCTTATCAAAAATAAGATCATTAGGACTCCTCTATTTACGATTGGTTTGTCTCTGGAGGGGGGGGCAGCATCTGAGGTAGTCATGGAACTGAACCGGGCTTAGACTGCTTTGATCCAGTTGAACTTTCTGAGTTAGCAAAACTATTGTCTTCATCTAAGCCTTCAACTTGTATGTTAGATCCAGTTCCAACCAGGTTATTTAAGGAGGTATTCCCTTTGATCTCCTCCTCCATTTTAGATGTGATTAATCTATCTCTGTTACAGGGATATGTACCTAAAGCTTTTAAGGTCGCTGGAATTAAATCTCCATCTGATATCAGAGATCTGATTGTTCCTTATGTTCCTAACAGAGCACTTCGCTCTCAATCTGCAGGTTTACTAGTGGTTCCTAGAATTTCTAAAAGTAGAATGGGAGGCAGATCTTTTAGTTATCAGGCTCCTCTCCTGTGGAACCAACTACCAGTTTTAGTCCGTGAGGCAGACACCCTGTCTACTTTTAAGGCTAGGCTTAAAACTTTCCTTTTTGATAAAGCTTCTAGTTAGTGGCTCAGGTTATCCTGAGCTATCTCTATAGTTCTGCTGCTATAGGCTTAGACTGCTGGAGGACATAGGGACCCCTTTTTCATCATTCTGCTTCATTCTATCTCTATTCTCCCACTCTGCAGAATCTGTTAGTTCAATCTCTAACGTTCTGCTCTCTCTGCTTTTTCTCATAGTAGCTTCATCTGGTCTGTTCCTGTTTGGCTGTGACTCCATCCTGGAGAGAAATATCAGCTGTGCTGCTGCCATCAACACCTTTGTTTCTAGATTTTGGAGATCGGCCTGTTTTCCAGTGTAGTCCTGTTTCTCTGACTGTGACTAAGTGGATGTGCTCTCTTCATCCTCTGACATGGGAGCTGGCTCGGAGCTCGTCTGCCTGGCTGTGTGTTTCCTGGACGGGGCCGCCTGTGGAGCTGGTTGACAGTTGCCTTTTGTATCTATGCTTCTTTTTCTATGTCTGCTTCTGTCTCCTTGAACCCCAGTGGGCCTCAGCAGATGGCCGCTCACACTGAGCCTGGTTCTGCTGGAGTTTTCTTCCTGTTCAAAGGGAGTTTTTCCTCTCCACTGTCACTACCAGCATTCTTAGTGTGAGGGATTGCTGAAGAGTCAATGAGTCGATGCAATCAGCTGGTTTTCCTTAGATAGAAAACTTCAAACCTTAAATGCAGAGAGCAGACAGCTCAGCACACAGAGAGCAGGGTGAGCATTGAACTGTGACCTCACATCGCTAACGGGACGCTAACGCTGGAGGGTTATGCCTCCAGGCTCCTCTCTGACTCCTCCCCCTCTGCTTCCTTCAGGTGAAAGATGTTTTCTTCTTCCTCTTCTTCCTGGCTGTTTGGCTCATGGCCTATGGAGTCGCTCATCAAGCACTCCTCTACGCCTACGACCCCCGCCCTAACTGGATATTCCGCAGAGTCTTCTACAGGCCATATTTACACATATTTGGGCAAATACCAATTCAGGAAATGGATGGTAAGTTTTCTTTGATTTCATAGATATATTTATCATGTACTCATTTATTGGAATAGAAGTTAGTAGTAGTTATTCCATCCATGGATCAATGTTGTCCCACTTTACTGCCATAATCCTGAACTGTTTGCTCTCTTAGTTTCTCAGTTTTGTGGTCAATTCATGAAAATAAAGCAGTCATGCTTCGTGCAGGAATGTACGATGGGAACCATTGATATGTTTAATTATTATTATTTAGAAGGAATCAAACCTCTTAGCACAGGAGGTTCAAACTGGTTCCAGAAAGGGCCATGTGGCTGCAGGTTTTCTTTCCAACCAAGCAATAGCTCACCAGAGTCCAGTCATCTCATCAATTGAGTCCAATGTGAACATGATGACTTGATGAGATGAATGGAGTCTGGTGCTATTGCTTGGTTGGAAAGAAAACCTGCAGCCACACGGCCCTTTCTGGAACTAGTTTGACACCTGTGCCTTAGCAAAATGCAAAATTATGCAATTTGTATCCCGATGATGTGGAAAGTTAGAGATACCAAACTCAGAGCAACTTCTAAACAAAGAATGGAAAGCAGAGTTAATGTTGGTTAGTGAGTTGCAGACAGTTTATTCTCTGTGTTTCTGAGTAATTTCCTCCACGAAGAGAAGGAAATGACTCCACTTTACTCACTTCCTGCCACTAGATCAGCACAGCCGTTTCACACCACCAGTTTATTGTTACTGTTGAAGAAGCAACTTAAATGGAAGTAAAAGTTCTCCTGTAATAACGTTATTTTTAAATTTCACATAACATGTAGCCTATAATAAAAATGTGTGGTGAGTTGTTTTTTTACACATTCTCATATAAGTGACCTGAACTGAATTTCTGTTTTATTCATTGAACATTTATTCAACCAGGAAGTTCCATTGAGATTCAGAGGGCTAACCTAATGTAACCCTGGTGAGGCAGCAGCCAAATCACTACAAACACTCACAATAAACACCAGGTCACATTTTCAGGTTAACAGAAAACTAAAAAGCAAAGAGTATGAGGAGTAGACTGGATCGGTACCAGAACACAGACCATGGTTAAGGCCTCTGACCCTCCTGCAAAGAGAAAACTCCCAGAGACAAAGGAATCTGATAGCTGAGTTTATTGAAGAGGAGGGTTGAGGTAATGGGAGATGAGGAAGTGCAGGGATGGAGCAGGAGGCAGCCATCTTCCCTGTATGAAGGAATCCTTCTGCCAGGGAGAGGCGGGGGAGGTCCGGTTGATGCTGTCAGTCAGCGGTGGGGAGTTTAGTTTTTCCAGGTGAATGGTGAACTTCAGGGATAGGGTGGTTGGTAGAGATGGAGAGTGACTGGACTCCTGCCTCTCTTACTCATCTCAGGTAATGAGGCTCATGGTCTGTAGGTGCAGCCTGGCAGCAAACCACAGGAGTCGCCCTCTGGTGGACGAAACCTGAAGGATGAGGAAATAATCCAGACCCAATCCCAGACACAGAATTATTGTTTTTTACAGAAAAAGAAGAATGAACCAAGATCGTTTAGATGTTCCATCCAGCAAGCAGAGAACAGACTGAATAACATGTTCTAAACGTGAGCTGTTTGGGTTCTAAAGGAGTCAATCATGGAATATTGATGCCCTGTTAGCAAATCAGGGATAGTTAAGAACGTAGGAGGACCAAGTTCCGCTAGCACGCAGAAAACACTAGCAGGACATTTAAAACGCTAAAATTATTCCCATCTCATTTTCTTCTTTACCTGCAGAACTTTATCAGTAACTACCATAGCTGTTCTGATGTCAGCTTAGAAAGACTTAATTCTATCTAGAAATTAGTTTGCAACTTGTTTCCCTCAAAGTTTTAGAGCCGTGACAAATGTTCCTGCTGCTAATAATAAAATCCACAGTAAGTCAAGTAATCAATTAACATTATTGGTTAATAGACGTTTTCTTTGGCTCCATCTGCCAGCAGCTGTTCAGACTAACGGACAGATGTTTGGGAACTATTGGGGTTACATGAGCCGATATTCTGTCAGACCAGCATACCCCTGTCAGACCAGCATACCCAATCAGGCCAGCATACCCAATCAGGCCAGCATACCCCGTCAGACCAGCATACCCCTGTCAGACCAGCATACCCAATCAGGCCAGCATACCCAATCAGGCCAGCATACCCCGTCAGACCAGCATACACCTGTCAGACCAGCATACCCAATCAGGCCAGCATACCCAATCAGGCCAGCATACCCCGTCAGACCAGCATACACCTGTCAGACCAGCATATCCAATCAGGCCAGCATACCCAATCAGGCCAGCATACTCCATCAGACCAGCATACCCCATCAGACCAGCATACCCCATCAGGCCAGCATACTCCATCAGACCAGCATACCCCATCAGACCAGCATACCCCATCAGGCCAGCATACTCCATCAGACCAGCATACCCCATCAGACCAGCATAGCCTGTCAGACCAGCATACCCCTGTCAGACCAGCATACCCAATCAGTCCAGCATACCCCTGTCAGACCAGCATACCCCATCAGACCAGCATACCCCATCAGGCCAGCATACTCCATCAGACCAGCATACCCCATCAGACCAGCATACCCCATCAGACCAGCATAGCCTGTCAGGCCAGCATACCCCATCAGACCAGCATAGCCTGTCAGGCCAGCATACCCCATCAGACCAGCATACCCCATCAGACCAGCATACCCCATCAGACCAGCATAGCATGTCAGGCCAGCATACCCCATCAGACCAGCATACCCCATCAGGCCAGCATAGCCTGTCAGGCCAGCATACCCCATCAGGCCAGCATAGCCTGTCAGGCCAGCATACCCCATCAGGCCAGCATACCCCATCAGACCAGCATACCCCATCAGGCCAGCATAGCCTGTCAGGCCAGCATACCCCATCAGACCAGCATAGCCTGTCAGGCCAGCATACCCCATCAGACCAGCATACCCCATCAGACCAGCATACCCCATCAGGCCAGCATACCCCATCAGACCAGCATACCCCATCAGACCAGCATAGCATGTCAGGCCAGCATACCCCATCAGACCAGCATACCCCATCAGGCCAGCATAGCCTGTCAGGCCAGCATACCCCATCAGACCAGCATACCCCATCAGGCCAGCATAGCCTGTCAGGCCAGCATACCCCATCAGGCCAGCATAGCCTGTCAGGCCAGCATACCCCATCAGGCCAGCATACCCCATCAGACCAGCATACCCCATCAGGCCAGCATAGCCTGTCAGGCCAGCATACCCCATCAGACCAGCATAGCCTGTCAGGCCAGCATACCCCATCAGACCAGCATACCCCATCAGACCAGCATACCCCATCAGGCCAGCATACCCCATCAGACCAGCATACCCCATCAGACCAGCATAGCATGTCAGGCCAGCATACCCCATCAGACCAGCATACCCCATCAGGCCAGCATAGCCTGTCAGGCCAGCATACCCCATCAGGCCAGCATAGCCTTTCAGGCCAGCATACCCCATCAGGCCAGCATACCCCATCAGACCAGCATACCCCATCAGGCCAGCATAGCCTGTCAGGCCAGCATACCCCATCAGACCAGCATACCCCATCAGACCAGCATACCCCGTCAGACCAGCATACCCCATCAGACCAGCATACCCCATCAGGCCAGCATACCCCATCAGACCAGCATACCCCATCAGGCCAGCATACCCCATCAGACCAGCATACCCCATCAGGCCAGCATACCCAATCAGGCCAGCATACCCCATCAGACCAGCATACCCCATCAGACCAGCATACCCCATCAGACCAGCATACCCAATCAGGCCAGCATACCCCATCAGACCAGCATAGCCTGTCAGGCCAGCATACCCCATCAGACCAGCATACTCCATCAGACCAGCATACCCCATCAGGCCAGCATAGCCTGTCAGGCCAGCATACCCCATCAGACCAGCATACCCCATCAGACCAGCATACCCCAGCAGACCAGCATAGTCCGTCACCCCAGCATACCCCATCAGACCAGCATACCCCGTCAGACCAGCATACCCCGTCAGACCAGCATAGCATGTCAGGCCAGCATACCCCATCAGACCAGCATACCCCATCAGGCCAGCATACCCCATCAGGCCAGCATACCCCATCAGACCAGCATACCCCCTCAGGCCAGCATACCCTGTCAGACCCGCATACCCCATCAGACCAGCATACCCCATCAGACCAGCATACCCCATCAGACCAGCATAGCCTGTCAGGCCAGCATACCCCATCAGACCAGCATACCCCATCAGACCAGCATACCCCATCAGGCCAGAATAGCCTGTCAGGCCAGCATACCCCATCAGACCAGCATACCCCATCAGACCAGCATACCCCATCAGGCCAGCATACCCCATCAGACCAGCATACCCCGTCAGACCAGCATACCCCGTCAGACCAGCATAGCATGTCAGGCCAGCATACCCCATCAGACCAGCATACCCCGTCAGACCATCATACCCCATCAGACCAGCATACCCCATCAGGCCAGCATACCCCATCAGACCAGCATACCCCATCAGACCAGCATACCCCATCAGGCCAGCATACCCAATCAGGCCAGCATACCCCATCAGACCAGCATACCCAATCAGGCCAGCATACCCAATCAGGCCAGCATACCCCATGAGACCAGCATACCCCATCAGGCCAGCATAGCCTGTCAGGCCAGCATACCCCATCAGACCAGCATACCCCATCAGACCAGCATACCCCGTCAGGCCAGCATACCCCATCAGGCCAGCATACCCCATCAGGCCAGCATACCCCATCAGACCAGCATACCCCATCAGGCCAGCATACCCAATCAGGCCAGCATACCCCATCAGACCAGCATACCCCATCAGGCCAGCATACCCCATCAGACCAGCATAGCCTGTCAGGCCAGCATACCCCATCAGACCAACATACCCCATCAGACCAGCATACCCCATCAGGCCAGCATACCCCATCAGGCCAGCATACCCCATCAGACCAGCATACCCCC